CTCAGAGCCTGAGCCCAAACATTGATGAACTTGCACCCAAGATGAGATGCCAAGTATCTGCTTGAACTAGCATCACAGAGCAGCACACTGAGTTTCAATGTTTCCTTCTGCACTCTTTCTTCTTGCGACAACAGGGCATGTTTGTTTTTTTCTTTGAGGGAAATAGTTTTTTTGAAGCTGTTGTTGGCCTGTGGGAAAATGTAATCAAAAGAAATGACTCTGGAAAAGCTGCAGATAGAGCCATAAGAAATGAATGCAACTGATTATTTCATGTTTAATGTTGTTTTTATAGGCAATCATTTAAGCTTTGTTAGTTCCAGGTTTAATATGTGCAATAACTTCATTTCAATAAACATTGAACCCTCGACTAGTACCCATTTTTTTTATTCTACATACTAAAGAAAATACTTATTTTCAGCTGTCTTCCTCCTTTATTCTGGATAAATATACAACTTAGTGATACTACTCGAGTGTCAGATTTTCGTTAAACTACAAACATGCCACAATGATAAACAACATGTATAGATTTTTTATTTTGCAAACCACAAATTATTAATCCACAATGTGACCTGAATTGTATTCATTATCTGCATTTATATTTGACTTAAAGAATAAGTACAAATTATGGCAATGACGATTCTTACAACATAACCAGTGTTACATGGTGCCATGCCCTACATAAACAATAAAGTAGTTCCCACAGACACCATCAGGGGTCAGCAGACCCCACACACACACACACACACACACACACACACACACACACACACACACACACACACACACACACACACACACACACACACACACACACACACACACACACACACACACACACACACACACACACACACACACACACAAACACACACACACACACACACACACACACACACACACACACACACACACACACACACACACACACACACACACACACACACACACACCACACACACACACACACACACACACACACACACACACACACACACACACACACACACACACACACACACACACACACACACACACACACACACACACACACACACACACACACACACACACACACACACACACACACACAGGTGTAACTGAACCTGAGTCATTAGCCTTCATGCCTTGGAATCAGCCAACTCACTGTTACGTGTGTATGGGTGTGTGATGGTGGCTGGGATTCTCAAACATATTGTTGCAACACAATACACTAGTTTCCCAATGTTCAGACTTCCCAGAAGGTCCAGCGAGAAGTGAAAGCAGTTTGTGGTTGATGTAGGACTGCTTTTGGTTCACTTTTGAACAGCGCATGTTCTTTTATTTTAGTAATTGTGCTGAACAATATTTTTGAAATTGTATGCCACTGATAATGGTAATGATAATGTAATAATATTATATTGCACGAATAGCCTTTCAAAGTGAATTTATTTTTATTGAATAACAATTTCTTTTTTTATAAATTGAGAAAATAAAATGGATGAAACCAGACAACCAGAACAATAAATAAAATGGATCCTCTGGCTTAATCTACAAAAATTGCACTCAGTAAACATTAACAATTGTATCTATAATTAAAACATTTATCGTGACAGGCCTACAGGAGATAGATCTATTGAGAATATGTCTTGTAGGCCATAAACTCAATAAATCTATCTCACTACTCACTTATTACTGAGAGGACTGACTGAGATCTATTTTTTACACATTTTATTTATCTCATATCCTTTCCCTCACTTCCTTTTAACATGAGCTTTTCGAAATGTATTGATCACTATGGTAAAAGCCTGTGCTTCAGTCCTGTGAGGCTCTCTGTAAATCACACACTCCCTCTGCTGCTACTTTGCTGAAACTTGACCCAGATGTCACCCCTCTGTTCACCCTGTAAACACACAGCAATGGGTTTACACAACACTGCAATCTGATCATGAGGTGAGAGCGGCTGCGTGTTCAAAGTATCAAGCTGCAGAGAGCAGCAATAGACAGTCGGCGTGGAGAGGATAACAAAACAGAAAGTGACTTGACTCTGCTGCTTGAGAAGAAATGCTGCATCAGGAGGACTGAACTCTAAAGGTCACCAGGGGCTGTGGAAAAATCTAAACGGAACTCCCAACTACATCCGATGGTCAGTTTTTGAGTATTACAATACTCAATACTGCAACTACTGAACAACTTCACTGGCCTGTTTTCATGTGTCAGCATTGTGTTTGTGTGCGTGTGTGTCAGGCCAATTAAAAGGTCATAAACCAACACTGTCAGTAGGCCTCTGCTGGGCTGTGTGTGCAACACAAAGCCATATAGCGGTCATGTGAAGCTCTCAAATGGCACAACAAAGAGGCCAGCCTGCTGGTCCACAACATTAACAACACCTGGCTGATATATCAGAATCGAGTGAAATAAATCCAGGGACTGTTTTGCCATTGCTACATGAGGAAAGATGACCTTTGGATTATTTTACGACAAGGAGCTACATGAAAATGTAAAGGGCAGTGGATCCATCAATCCGTTTTTGCTTAAACTAGGAGGGATGTGTCTTTTTTAACTGGTTACTTGCTGACACTATGAGGTCCCTTATTATATTATGAAGTCAAGTCATGAATGAATATAGAACATTTCTACATCCAATGCTGGTAGTTTTTTTCCTTGCCTCATTACTAGCCAACCTTATATATTATACACATATTACTAGATATACCTGTTGCTACTACAACATACTGAGGATCATTTTTCTATTTATTTACATTGTCAATCATCATTCTTCTGAATTTCGTCAGGATAGTTTATTTAGTCAATTGTCAACTAACTTATCAAATATCGAAAGAATTGTCCAAAGTGACATCTTCAAATAGTTTTGGTCTTTTTAAGTCACAAAAGAGTCAAATTATTTAAAAATATTTTATATTATAAACACATTTTTCTGCACAATGATAACTGTTAATGTTTAAATACTTTAAGTACATTTTTCTGATAATACTTTTGCACTATTACTTAAGTAAGCTTTTGAATGCAGGAAGTATTTTGACAATAATGTATTGGCACTTTTACTCAAATGCATCTGGATATTTCTTCCACCACTGTGTCTGACCATCAGTTCACACTCTGACAGTGTTATAATGAAAGACAAGGGGGAGGGGTCCCATGTTGAGAAGTTGTAACTAGAATTTGATCAATCGATACAAAAGTTTCCATCCATTCGATTAATCGACTGATGGAACGTTTAGCATTGAACTTCATGTTGTCACTAACGGACACCACAACAGACCAAGGTTATGTTGTGTTTTGTGACATATAAAACTCACCTAAAACCGCAAACCAGGCGATGATAAGCGCGGCGGAAGAGTAATAGACTCTCATCTTTTCCGGTCACAGTCCTCCTCTTTCTTTCCTGGGTAATAGATGGCGTCGAGCACACAAAGGTGGTGTTGTGTCGGCGATGCGGGCGCAGGTGGGTCTACGCGACGTACTGCACTTGACTTGACGGAGCGTTAGCTTAAAGCGAGGCGTCACTGTTGTTGTTGTTTGCGTGTATCTGCTGTCCAAAGATGCAGGAACCCGTTGTTTAGTAATCCTAAATCACGTCCTGCTGGTATTCTCTCGGTAAACGCGTTTAGCTGTCGGTCATACAGCCACACAGACTGAATAAACCATGTCTCGTCAATCGTCATGTGAACTGGTAGCAGTAAGAGCCACCCACCCAGTCACGTGAGCCACCCCCCCCTCTCCTCTTTCTTTCACGAGCTCTATCAAAGGCAGTCCTAATAAACTGTCTTCGGCTCCATTTACATGAACGTCACAATGTAGTCCACAGAGAGTAACAGTGTAATGCATTGTTTACTATACTGCGTTTGAAAAACATGACTAATTAAGAAGTTACATAACTGTGTACATAATGACGAGTGGGTGTAAAGAGAAACATAATGAGACAAATAGTGCACTTCCAGGAATAATATTACATTTCTCCTTCGGGGAAATCACACAAGCTACATGTGCCAAGGCTACAAAAAATAATAACGAGGGAGGAGGGAAACACCAAAACAATTTCAGGACAACATTTTACTTTGGTTTGTTTGCCTTCTCTTTCTGACACTTTTCAAACAAACGCATACCAAAGCACAACAATAGCTGCCTGGTTAAAGGTATGGGAATGGGAAAGTACACTTTAGCATGCCATGTAAGATATCAGCTATATTACACATCCTGTATCATCTGAAGAACAACCTCAAGATTACAACATAGGAAGTCAGCATGTGAGTCCAGACAGACCCTGTGCAGGCTGCATGTGTGGTGGGAAGTCAGCTGACAACATCATCAATTCACGAGGGTGTGCAAACCCTAGAAGGAACGCAGAGGCTGCTTTAATGCTGCTGCACAAGACTTATCAGGGCCCTGCTAAAACCTCCCTGCATAGTTCAACTTTTTCTTGTTTTATTAAGACTAGAATGTCAGACAACAATTTCTCATTGATTTAATATCTATTTCTAAGTGATATATATAAAAAGCTGTACATTCCCTGCCGTGAAAGTATTACGAAATATGCTTTCATTTCCATCTTCCCTTAACTTAGATATTAAAATCCCGAATGGCTCGTTTATCAGAAAACTAAAACCCTACGGCCTTTGAATCAAAAATGATTTGAAGATAACTCAAAACTGATTGGAAAGAGAACGGACAACTTACTTGTATGATTTAGGGAGTGATACAAGGCCCGAAAAAGGACATTATAGTGTTGTGGTGTTTAAATGACTTCTGATCTAAGTAATGTCAATGTTTTGATACTTAAACTACAAGACAAGATTCTTGATACATTAAAGCCCATCTGCTCTGATTCCATTGGAAATTGTTTTGTTGTAATCAAGATTCACCATTTGATGAAATCATATTGGACTGAATGAGTTGCACACTGAGCTATGTAGCATGATCAAGCTGAAAAGAGGCAAGATGGAAGACAAGTATTCAAATAAAGAAAATATCAACACTACTACTAGCTATTTATCTACAAATTATGAATTGAATCATTAAATATCCATTTATTCAGGTTCACTTTGTCTCACTCTTACACGTAATACAATCTGATCTACAAAAACGTCAGCACATGACATTTGGACATTTTGGTCAGAACATAGAAGATACCCAAAGAAATACCCAAGTGGCCTGCCTGCATGTTGTTTAGCTTCTGAGCAATAAACCCTCCCCTCATACCCAAACACGTCTGACCCATTTCATCTTCTTAAGTCTTTTTTTGTCCTTAACAGCTGTTTCTCTGCCATACCAACCAACCAGGTTTACACTCAGCAGTTTACGCAGCCATTCCCAAGGGGAACGCCTTGAACAAAAGAAACAATATAAACTTAAAACTCAAGACAAACCAACTATAGTAGAAAATAAGTGATTTTAGAACAGCGTGATGGAGAGGGGGAAACAAATCAAAATCCTGGGAGGGAAAAAACGAAACAAAAACAGAGGAAAGTGCTAATCATTTTCAGTTGAGTTTTGCATTAGAAGATTTGTAAGTCACATAAACCAACCATCAACAACCCGGGCCACTCCCCCAGCCCCGAGCCACTAAAGGTAACGCAGAGTGGGAACGGTACAGCCAAGTGTCTCTCGTCTCTCTGGAGCTCTGTGTGATCGGGACGATGCGTCCAGGATCCTGGATGGAGGGGAAGATGGGCACCAGAGGAGAGTCGGGTGGCTGGAGGGCCGTTATGCTGTGTTTAGGGGGGCCAGCTGTACGCTTGCTCTGAGGAAAGCATGGCAGTAACAGCTGTATCCCTTCAGGCAACATAGTGGTACTGGTTAGGAGTCTCCTTGTCACGTTCCATGTAGTCTCTGTCTATGAGCGACTCGATCCGCTTCTTCAGATCGCCCGGCTGCAGACAGGAAAGAAAGTCAATTATGAGCTTCGTGTGTGCGTGTGTGTGTGTGTGTGTGTGTGTGTGTGAGTGTGTGTGTGTGTGTGTGTGTGTGTGTGTGAGTGTGTGAGTGTGAGTGTGAGTGTGAGTGTGAGTGTGAGTGTGAGTGTGAGTGTGTGTGTGTGTGTGTGTGTGTGAGTGAGTGAATAAAAAATCTAGAAAGGTAACAGTTAAATGACTCAATGATTGTTCCATGGATTTGACTTACAATGAGCTTAAATAGATGTCAAAATTAAGTTAAAACACTTATAAATATTCATAATATAAAATATTTTAGAATGAGTAACAAGGCACAAGTATCATAGTACTTTAAAAAGGGCTGGTCCCATTTGTATAGCAATAGTGTATGGAGTGAAAGAAACATTACATCTATGCAAAACACAAAACGTTGTCAATATTTTTCATTCTCCTCAGTCCCCAAATGCCCATTTCAAGTAAATGCTTATACCTCGTTTTAACAATATCCATCAGTGCTCATAAATATAAGTAAACCATGCTATACGCAGGTAATAATGTGTTTTCATACACCGTTATAGAAATCAGTTATCAGTTCAAAGAATAAGAAGAAGCTTAGGAGTGTTCACCTTTACGGGGAACTTGAGCTGGTTGTAGAGCTCTGACACCAGGAGGTTGTGACTGAGGGTCTTCCTCATCTTCATGATGCGCACCACAGCTGCATCGATCTGATACTGCCTGTCTTGAAAGACGCGCTCTGTGGTGCTTACCTGCTCCTCTACCTGTAAGAACAATACGTACATATGGATTAAACCATCCTTCTGCATAGAAAAACATACAGTGCAAGAACAGCGTCAAGCTTTCTTTGCTACTAACATCCATACGTCAAAACATCAAAAGAAAGAACGATGTTTTACCGTTTCCTTCATCTGGATCTGGTTGATCTTGATGCGGAATAGTTTATGTTTGAAATCATTGTTGAAATTGAAGCGGTCTCCGTCCTCCACGTCCTTCCCTCGAGGGTTCTTGTTGAGGACGCGAGCCTTTCCGCAGGCCAGGGACTGCAGCGTCCGCCTGAGCTCTCCCTCCTCTGTGCAGGACAAGAGACAGTCTGTGACACCAGGCCCCTCTCACACAATAGAATAGTTGTACTACATGTTTGAAGACGTGTTTAACCTATGCCTGTGGCAGTGCGGATCTCATCCACGCTGAATTCCTCTCCCTCATTGAACATCAGCAGCACCAGCGTCTGGAACAGCGACACCTGCAGCTCTTTCTTCCCCTGTGGCAAAAAGGAATGATTTTAAGTGTGAATCAGAGGCTTTCCCACGCCTTTCCTCTTTCAGTGTGCATTATGCCCTTACCTCCTTAAACTCTGCCTTTAGTACAGCGTGGCCCAGTGTGGGCTGCCACTGCAGCTTCCTCCCACTGTGCTTCCCCAGGTAGAACAACTTGAACACCTCCTGGAGTTTCACCATCTGCACAAACACAAAGAGAGAGTCTGTTAGGGATCGGGTGATGACTCTGCTAAGAGATCATCAGTATGAAGACACAATAGTACAACTCTGTGAAACCAGATTTCATGTTCTTTACAACTATTGCTCTGAATATGACAATATTCTGAATTTGTTATGGGTTTTATATACAGCATATCATGTAATGTTATGAATTAGGCATTCAAATTAAGTATTTTTGTTAAGACAAGATGGATATGCTTAAAACTTAGAAAATAAGTGGTGAGTATTTTGATGGCTGCATGTAAACAGGAAAATAAGTGAAATATTCATTTCCATGAGCCATGCAAGCAGCTTAGCAGGAATATTGTTAGGAGACCGTGGGCGAAACTGATTATGTTGTGCATGGAAATGAAGTGTTTCCCAAATAACTACTTGAAACCATCACACTAAAATAGAACAGATGAAAGGCTAAATATTGTTTAAACAAATAGTCTGCTGCTCAAACTGTAGTTCACAAACAAAATAGAAAACGGCTTCCCTCGATGCTTCAGTGTTTTTGTCAGACTGAGCACAGAGTGCACATTAAGGAACCCCATCAAAGACGTGCGTACCTCTGGGGGCAAGTGGACCTCCATGGGTATGTATGAAGGCCAGTAGCCCATAGTGAGGATGTTCACAGTGAGTTCGATGTTGCTCGGCTCGCTCTGGTTCTGCATATGCTGAGCAGAAGAATCATACATTTTATAATAGTGCATGTCAAAAGGCATTTAATGACACTCAGAATGCATACAGATACTGAAAGACGGCATCAATATTTGTATTCTGCTAATATTGGTATTTATGTGGAGTACCTGTTTGAACTGGATCATGATGTCTTTGGACAGTTCCATGTCCTTGAACATCCCCTCCAGCTTGCTGGTGAAGGCTGCTCCGCACTCTGGAGGAAGTCAAAACCACAAAACATTGAATCATTGTCACACCTACACATGAGCGCTCGCCATGTTGACAATGATCATAGTGAGAATGAAACTTCATGATCAGATAAAGTCTAAACATGTTGTTGCAACACAGCAGCGCCGTTGAACAAACACAAAATATGTACGAGGAAAATAACAAATACATATATCTAAACTGTTTATCATCACAGCAGACAATACATTCAAGACCCGACATCTGATCTTGGATTCAACTGTCTCTCATTTTAGTATAACCATGCATCTCCAATAATGTGATGTTTTTATTTGCCGTCCAGGACACGATTGGAGTTCAATACAGTGTACACACACCTGCATTGATATCATGAGTCATAACGTTCCTCAAAGGGTTGACCTACAATCTTTGAGCAGATTTTCATTTCATTTTTGACTTCAATGAGATAACAGACTATCCCAGAAAAGTATGAATCCATGCCACGAAGCCTAATAACTGGCAGGTAACTAACAGAACCATGCGTTCAAATCATTATCGGTGATTATCTGACATTATCTTCAGTTTGTCAGCTCTACTCCCAAGCTCTGACACAGCGGTTGGTTTTTTGGCTGCATATCTAAATGCCATGAAAGACACTCAACGGACGATCATTTTTTTAATAATTCTGGAATTGATATTTAAGACAAAGAACAGCCTTTCGACTCACCATGTTTGAGCTTGGAGAGCATGGACTTTTCAGCGTCAACAGAAGCACTCTTTCCAACCAGCAGACGCTTGGCCAAGTCCTTCTTATAAAAAGCCTCAAACACATCTTTTCCTGGAGCAAAAGACAACAGAGAAAAAGCTCTTATCACAGTGTTAAACGCTTCGTAGTGGTTGAGAGCAATATTTGTCTGAGACAGCCAGCATTGACGACGGAAGTGAAACTGACCGTGTATGAAACGGAAGATTATCATGATCTTATCCAGGATTCTCTCCAGCTCTTCCTCTGTAGCCTCTTTGTTCCCCGCTCTCAACTTAGAGTCCACATATTTAGCTGGATGGGAAGCAATATATTATTACAGGCTATAACTAAAGAAACCTAATGAAAAGGTATGTTTATGAGTAACAACTGCCATGTCATTCATTTGCCTGACTCACCAATAAGTTCAGCGGGTTTGTTGGGCCTCTTGTTGATGAAGGTCTCGAAGGCCTCCTTCATGGCGTTGATGAACCCCTCATTCCGCGCAAAGCAGTTCTGTGCAACGTTGTCCATCTTGTCTTTGAAGTCCAGCAGGTCTTGCACCATGTCCTTGTCTTTCTCTGGAGTGCAGACAATCTCTCCACCGAAGGACTGAGACCAGGGACAGATTCATCAATGTGCAAATGCATCTCTCAGACCATGTTTGTCTTGATAGTAATGCTTTGTGTGTATGAGGTCAGTATGTTTACCTTAATGTAATCCCTCCAGAACTGCAGCAGTGTGGGGAGTCCGCCCTTCACCTTGCTGAAGAGCTGGTAGAGGAGGCACAGCTCGGTCACACGATTCCCATCCAGCATGGTGCTCAGTCCTGGGATAAAACAAATGACAGTTATTGCACATTATGTTATGTCCATATGGAAAATGTTACAGCATTTTAGCAATTTCACATTAACAACACTTCATTCAGATTTCAAACGGGATGGATGTGTAAGTGCAGGAACGCAGACGTACCTTTTTGTAGCATTGCAGTCATGTGTTCTCCTAAAAGTTGTTTCTCAACACAGCTAATAAGTGGTTTCCTGCAAGGTACGTGGGAAAAAGAGAGAACATGTATCAAAAAGATATAATAAACGCATACATGAAAGGTTTGTCCATTTATTCATTCAATAAAATGTTTGCATAGCAACTTTTCCTGGTTAAGTTTCTTAACTATTTGTGGACTTAAGAATAATAAACAAAGCTGTAACCTCTGAATAGTGTGGATTTGACCATTATTAGACAATTAGAGCTAAACACATGCTTTACTAATGTGGGTTATTAAAAATCAAACAAATGGATAATAGTAAAAAGAATGACAAAGAAGATGTGAAGGGAATTTAACATAGGGCTCTGTATTAGAAATGTAAGCAAACACCTGACACTATAATGAACCATTTGTCTACAAAAAGTACATTTCAAAACACCAGGCACTTATTGATCTATTTACAGAGGCCCCTAACGGCCCTACACACGGCGGCGTGCGTTGTCGCTTGTCGGCGGGGGGGGGCTGAAACTCGACCAACAACCAATCACATGAATCTCCCGCCCCAGACACACAAGCACGCGGTTTGATTGGCTAGAGCTTGTACTGGCATATGATTCGATTGGCTGACGCCTCCGTCAAAGCTTCAAAAGTAGAACATTGCTGTATAAGTGGAGCAATGTTCTACGCTTTGCTCCCACAATGCAGTTCGGCGAAGCGTGGCGTCACCCCATTCGAAGTGAATGGGCAGAAGCGTTAGCGCACGGCGCCGTGTGTAGGGGCCGTAATGGTATTGTATTATAGGTTTACCCTGTGTTAATGTTTGGGAAGAAATGATAATGAATGGCTATTTATGTTCTCTTTACTTGTTTCTCTTGGTATGCACATGCGTTGTTGTTTTTTATTAAAAAGTGTTAATTATGGAATTTAGAGAGTTAAACATTTAAAAACAAATTACTGAGTGCTCTGGTCGAGGTAGCTCATGATTCGATCGTTCTCCTCCTCCAGCCGACGAGCCACGTGGTGCAGGTACTCAGGCACCTGGACACATAAACATGAAGATTCAGAGCAGTTGCATGTGATGGCATCAAGTGTGTGACGGATTAGTGATCAATACATCAAATATCCATGAATCCTCCCACTCACATCTCTCTGCTGCATCAGCCGCTGTCCCTCTGCAGCGTACAGACGATTGGTCTCGATCAAAAACCTCTCCTCAAAGGAATCTTTGTAAACCTGAACAACAGATAGAAAGTTTCTGGGTGTAAAAACAATGACATAAACTCAAGTCAACTAGTTTGTTAGTAATGAACCAGGGGCATAGGTACCTGCAGGTCTGACAGCATGCCCAGCAGACTCCTGATCAGACTCCGGTCGACTGTCTCTCCGTTCCGCTCCAGTTCTATCTGCTCCAAGATGCCGTCTACTGTCCGTTTCTGAACCCCGCTGTCACTCACAATGTGGGTACGAAACAGTTCCAACCCAGTGTCCCTGCATGGTAGAAATCATAGCCTCAGCCTCCTAATACAACTTGACAGACAGAATCAAAAAAGCATGTTTGCATAAACTGTAGCTTTACCAGATGGAGGGCAGTAGGGAGTTCTGAAGCACATAGGTACGATCCAGGAACAGAAAGATACTTCGGATCATTATCTATAAAGAGAAAAACAACAAGAGTCTTAAAGGAAACGTTCTTACTCAAACCGTCTTGATGTGAATGTTTGTCAAACATCACACTTACAGTTTGCCTGCAGTGATCCTGCCAGCAGCGATTCATTCGCTTCAGGAAGGAAAGGTTGTCCAAAGACTCTGTGAGCTCCATGTTAAGGAAAAACCTTCACACACGTTCAAAGTATCCTTTTGTTAGCAAGCATGACATAAACCATTTACCTCACTTATTTGCTCAAAAAAGATTTGGGGTTCAAGTTAGGTAAAAGCAATCTTTTTACTCTTTACTGAACATTCTGTAGGTCTTATTAGAGGGGGGAGCATACATCAAGTCCACCTAAATACAGAGTCTAAAAACTGTTATTTTTACAAATTACATTAATTAATTACATTAATGAAAAGGTCCTGTAATTGCTATAACAGACAAACAGCCCTTTTGTTTTAGGATTATAAAGCTGTCAAACTTGTTGTATGTTGACCTCTTGTGAGGAAAGACTGCAACAACACCTGAGGTGTAACAGGAGAGCCAACACTTTCTAAATTAAGTTGAAAGCCATCTGTTAAATCTCATACATGTACAAATAAAGCTACAAGTTTGTGATACACATTAGCACTGCATTTTGGCTTAAATCGCTACAGTAAGTAAAGGCTGGTCCAACTGTCCTCTCTTACATGAGTCATGGGCTGCTTGATCTGAAGAGGATTACTAAATGAACATTTCTGCAGCGCAGTATTCAACAGGGCTGAGAACAGGCCAAATGCAGTTTCATTTCCAAAGCTTTGAGATAAGATACTAACTGCCAGGAGAGACTCAGTGACACAATGCATCATGATTCTAAATGTTTTCACAACTTCAACACATGGCTTGAGTTATGAGTCTGTTCACAAAAAAAGGATATTCTCTAAACTGTTTGATCTGGGCCTGCACATGATCTTCACACACTTGCCGTAGCTGCTTGTACAGCGTGGGGGAGACTTTATACGAACACAGGTTTTCTACCGCCTTCAAGAAAGAGAGACAAGGGAGAGAAACAAGAGCAGGAAAAAAAAGTTAATGTTTGTCACATTATTTCTTGATTTAAAGCTATTCTTGCAAATGATGAGTAGCACTTTTGATATGTAGAAATGGTAGCTACCTGATAGAGCTCCTCCAGATTGTACTTGATAGAGGTGCTGTTCTGGATGGCTCCCACTGCATCTCGTAGCTTCAGCCATGTATCCTCCGTGTAGTTCTCGGCTAATTTTGGCCTGTCTGTTGAGAGAGAGAAAAGCAACAATGTTAATGAATACAAATGAGATATTGCCAAAGAAGATAAAAGGAAGCATATAGTGAAAATAACAAATGTATTTGCATCTTAAAACATGGTTTCACGTGTTTAACCAAACATGATAAGTTGCAGGTTTGTAAAACCACAAGCTTTTTAAAAAAATGTGTTTTTAATTGTCATTTTTGGGATAACGGACAATAAACCAAGGCCTACACCACATACTGTGGACCAGGTGAGAAAGTAAATACTGATTTTGAATGGCAAAAGGTACAGAAGTATAGTGCTTTATTTTGTGACTTTTTGTTTAATAAATAGTACATAAGTTGTTCAGTAGAAGTTTGCACATATGTAGTCCTAAAGAAATGCTCGGCTGCCTGTATTCAAAGTAACTGATTGTTAAAGCTCTGTCACAATTATTAGTTGATAAACAAAAACAATAATAATGGCATCCTATCACAAGTTGTCAAATGATTGCGCAAAACTACTATTTCATCTATCAATAGCAGCCAAAAAGATGCACAGTCATTGTAACAGGTACATGTGTATGTATTTGTTATGTGGGTAAAAAAGAGAGAAAGAAAAACATAAAACGTCACATTATCAAAGTCTTATTTATTATATTATTTGATTAATAACTGAATTAGTCTACTACACCCAATGCGTGCTCAAATCTGATGGGACAAACAGAAGTTGTGACTCCAAATAAATAAATGAATCGAGAAAAATAAATGACTAGGAGATGTGTGGTTACAAAATGAGTCTATTAAAATCGGACATAAGATAAGATGGTACTTTACTGATCCCAATTTGGGAACATTTTGAAATTGCTCTAATCAGACTATTTGGGGTAAAAAAAACAAACAATATGTGCCCAACTTTGTTTGACAGCATCATCTAAAAGTTACACGCTCAGTATTATAAAAGATATGAAGTGACGCTGTTAGGTAAAGGAGGTGAAAACGACCAGGGACAGACAGTACCTTTGAAATTCTTGATCACTAATTTCTTTGAAGCGCCACTCTTGCTGGAGGCCACGGCGGAGCTCCGGGCCATCCCGTTGGTGTTGTGCTCCGTCAGGGCCGAGAAGCTGGCCCTCTTGTCCTGTCGGGTGTCCTCTGCCATTATCAGATTGGCGTGAGGGTTCAACGCTGTATGCTTATTTTCTTTCTTAGTTACTGTTTGGTAGTCCAGTCGCCTGTTTATTACTCACTGTCACAGACTCTTTGTTGAACCAGTTGTCTTTGGTGGGCAGCCGAAGTGTATTTAAAACACATTTACAAACACACACACACTGACTAACGTATATCAATCAGAAAAAAAAAACATAACTACCGTAGGTGAAGTAAACAGATATCTAATGTTAGCTAACAGTGTGTTATCTGAAACTGCAGCACACTTTAGCTACCAGCTACCGTCTTCTTCTAAACACTTCAGCTTGTTTTCCGGATAACGTTAGTCCATGCCAGTGCTGCCTACTGACAGAGGTATATCACTGCGCCGGTAAAGAAACAAGGAAAAACGACAGAGTTAGCGTTGATGTAACATACCCATATTTTTAGTGGCTTTCTTTGCCCACATAGCGTTAGCTAGCTAGCACAACAAAATGGCTTTTCTCAGACAGTTCAGTTGGACAGGTGCATCCTGGGTGAAAAGCGGCCGAGGTGCGTTCAGTGACAGTTTGACCTTTCACTGTCATTTTTTTTCTTCCAGTTTGTTGGAGAGCTCAAACATTAAACACATTTAAATTAATTTATACCGATCAATAAAGAGTATTTGAGGTAAAGTTATACAAGTCACAGTATTATTATTATTATTGTTGTTACATATTTAATATGATTAAGTTTCATAAATATTTCTTCGATTTATCACTGATTACATTGAATTGACATACCGAAGAATCATGCAAAAAGCTCAACTTTAAGCTTATGTTTATAGATGTGATTAAACATGAAACAATTATTAATATAGTTGACCATTTATTTTCTTTCGATTGATATAATATGATTTATGGACTACTTATTTTATTTCTTACATAGGCCGCCGCCTGATTAATATTACTGGAAAATGTGTAGTGATGAATCAATATGTACGTTGATATTCATATGTACATGCACATTTTACATTTCAATAGTTCCTCTAAAACACTGCTGAAACCAGGACAGTCAATGTTGAAGGGGAGTATAGGATATATCAGTCTATGCGATAATGTAGGCTTAAAAGTGCACTGAAATGTTGTTTCTGTATTTTATTATGTTGACAAAATGTATTCATTCAAACATGGTACCTTTTAACTCCACTTCTTTTATCTTGAATTACCCTCAGAAATTGTAAATCCCTTTTAGTCATAATGATAAAAGATAATTGATGACTATTGTAAAGTTTAATCGGTCTCTTGGGGAAATTCCCACAATACCTTGCAAAATTATAAAAAATAATACAAATAAATATGTAATAATAATAATAATTATTATTATTATTATTATTATAAATGAACACTTCATCCATCTATAACCACCTCTGTCTTTCATTGAATATTATTGACTTTACTATGAAATATTTAAGAAATCAGTTTGAAAATCTTTGAAATCTAACAACTTTTCTCGATCATGAACGCACCCTGTGTAGCAGGGGAATCACGGGCCGTTTCTCAATCGCGAGGATGCTGGCTTGGTAGTCGCGTACTTCCAAGTCACTTCCTTCAGAAACAAAGCAAGTATTCTTCCAAGCCACGGCTTCGGAAAACGAAGAAGAATGGAACAGGCTAACAAGTGTGTCTCTCTAACGAAGAAGAATGGAACAGGCTAACAAGTGTGTGTCTCTCTAACGGTTTCAACATAAACTGTACCGAAAATAAATACCTCACGATGTCTATCTAATTATGAACTTGCTTTACTTTCACGGAACACATTGTTGGTGATAACAAAGTAACATATTTACATGTTCTACGCCACTACATACTTACATTTAAATGTGTGCTGCGTCGGTTCAGCCATTCTCCGCAAGGGTTTTTGAAATTGGACCGTGCGCAAAGCATTGTGGGGATTTTAAGGATGCGGAGTCTACCCATGTGGAGCCTCGACATTTCCCCCAAACCAAGGACGCGGCCTCGGTGGAATTCCAAGTATGCTGGAGATTGGAACAGTCCTTCGGCGGCACTCGATGACGTAGTATCCTTGAAATATTGGCTTGGAAGCCAGTATCCTCGAGATTGAGAAACGGCCAGCATCACCTGCAGCCAGCAGGACTTTCAGTGCAAATGGGCGGTGTTTTACAGTGGACAAGGAAGACCTGAACGCTCCCAATTCAAGCTGTATTTTATGTTTGTCGCTGCGGTGCCGAACAGAGCACCATGGCAGTAATGTCTGACTGTACATTTATGTCGGGGCGGCTGTTTGTGGAGTGGTGAGCCTGTTGGTGTTGATCCGGCCTGCCGTCCTGAGCGCTGTCTGTAGCGGTAGGTATGCTAACAGGAACCAAGGAGGGATAATCTTTTCCAGGGAGGGCAGGCTGGTTGGAAACTAATCTCGGGAGTTTTTTCTTTGGACAGTCACCCAATGAGACCCATTATGAAAGCCCCTCCTTTAGCCACATACAAAATATAGCTGTGCTAAGTATTAATTAGCCAGCTAGCATTGAAATCACTGGTCTATATAAGCTAACGTTAGCCTAGCTAGCTCGTACAGAAATCTAAAATAATACCTATACGACCAAGTCTTCTTCACATGTTTAAGTTAACTCTCCCAAACGTAAACCAAACATTCTTCCCACAGACAGCCAGTGCTAAACATTGAACTTTGTCTTTTGCTACTGTCGTTAGCCTCCATGGATTTGTCGCTAGCTAGCGTTAACAATATTAGCTGCTGTCACCACTCCAGCAACCTTACGTTACATGAGAAAAGTGTTTTAGCTAATGTTTTTTTTAAAGAACTGGCTTGGAAATATGACTGACTTATATTTAAGATATAATAGAATATTTTTGTAAGGAGGTGAGTTAGCTATACAATGGTAGTAAAGGAGCTTGTTACCATAAAATGACATACATTACAGATACCTTTTAACAATTATGTCTACGGAAATAAATTGTCTTGTAAAATGAACATAATATTTATGAACATGGGGGTAAGCCTTAAGAAGTATTTGTACTATTCAAGTATCACACCCCAAAGCCCAGCCCTCTACTTGCATTGCAGGGCAAGGAAGAGCAAAACAGAAAGTATATATATTTTCACGTGTCAGAAGAAGATAAGCTATACACATATTAAACACAAAACACTTTAATATGTGGATGTTAAGTTCTCAACAAAGACTAAGCATTGCCATCCTACTTTTAAAACATGTATTCATATCTATAATAATCAGTGCCAGATTGTCTGTAAAGGTTATAGAAGGCAGCACAGCTCTTTGCATTTTAATTTAGTCAATAACTTGTTAGATCTTTAAAATACCAAAACATTGTAAGAAATGTTTGACACAATTTACAAGAGCCCTGTTCTGTCTTCAAGTAGAAGACATGAAGTTTGTTGTGAGTGAGGGACACCCTTGCTGCAGTCTATCCTATTTTGAAACAGTAATATATAGCCAGTGATTTCTTTTTGACGTTTTGCAGTATCATTTTATTTAATAAGTCTGTTGTGTTGAAGCCTGTCTCTTTTGTGTCTTCCAGTGTAGATGCCGTGACTGAGATGAGTGTGAAGGCGTTTGAGCTTGTCCCCGCTGTGGAGAGAGATCTCCTCATGGGGGACAAGGCTCGCATCAACATCGAGTGCATCGAATGCTGTGGAAAGCACTTGTACATGGGCACCAACGACTGCTTCATCCACCACTTCCTGCTGGACGAGGTCACTTCCTCCAAAGGGAAACTGACCTACTCGGCGCAGAAGCTGCTGCACAAATATCTAGGCCTCAAGAAACCCGTTGCTGAGCTGCGTGCAGCCTCCGCCTTGGAGCGTCTGATTGTGCTCTGCGATGGGATTGTGTTCCTAGTCGACATGGTGACACTGGAGACCGTGCCGTCGGCAGCTGGAGGCGGAGCCAAGATCAGAGGAGTGACAGCGTTCTGCGTTAACGAGAACCCGGTGAACGGGGATCCATTCTGTGTGGAAATGGGTGTGATCTCCTCCAAGAAACGGACGGTGCAGATTTACATGGTGTATGAGGACAGAGTGCAGCTGGTCAAAGAGGTGACCACCCCTGAGCAGCCCTGTGCTGTCAGTGTGGACGGTTACTTCCTGTGCCTGGCCCTCGCTACACAGTACATGATTCTGAACTACAACACAGGAGCCTCCCAAGACCTCTTCCCTTACAACAGCGAGGACAGGAGACCCATTGTGAAGAGGATCGGAAGGGAGGAGTTCCTCTTAGCAGCACCAGGTGGTCTGGGTGAGTCAGCACAAGAAAAGGTCTTTTAAAGGATTCATTCAGTCCCCTCAGAGGAAAAGGCTTTGATGTTATTACCAGACGTAATTTACAAAGGTTGTAAATATTTGCTGCATTGCGTTTTTGTAGAGAAGCTATAAACAACAAGTGAGACGACAGTGGATAGTGCTTGGAATTTTAGCATACCATTTTTAACTCACTTTTATGGGATAATTATAAATAGAACACTTTTTTTCATAACAAGGAAGTACCAACAACAATCTGAATGTCCATACATTTGTGTACTTAAAAATCAGTTGTAAGTCTTACTTTCTTTACTGGTTTTCCATCATCCTTCTACCTGTATGACTGTGATATTAATACAATCACATATTTTTAAATCCCGGTTACAAAGGGCTTCACAAAGGCAGAAAAAACTGATCAGTCACCAGGTTTTAAAATAAAACATAAATCAAATCATTGGCAGTTTTTCATACGTTTGATGTACCCATTTGTAACAGTCTACTCAATCGTTGCATCTAACAGTTCCAAAATTGTCCCAGCCTTTTTGCAACTGCTGGTAAATAGTTTTGAAAATGATTTCTTTTTAACTTTGAAACTAGTTTGCATGACCTTTCCCTGTTGTTTCTCAAACTGTTTCTCTGAATCTTCTCCCAGGGATGTTTGCCAATGCAGAAGGAGTATCTCAGCGAGCTCCAGTCAACTGGTCGGAGAGCGTGATTGGTGCTGCCGTGAGTTTCCCCTACGTGGTGGCTTTGGATGAAAGCTTCATCACAATCCACAGCATGCTGGACCAACAACTAAAACAAACCCTTTCCTTCAGGGATGGACACATTCTGCAAGACTTTGAAGGTATCCTCACATATTGGACACCTACGTTGTCTAATCAATCAAACTATATACATGGTTTTAAAGGAAAACTCGACCAATTATCTTCATTCAGAGATTTGGGTGTTTTGAGCTGCTAATGTAGGTCAGGCAGGGATTAGGAGCACCAACAGAGGTCTCACTTCTTTCTAACTCCATTCATCCAGAATGTTGTTTATACCTGAGTCACATCACATGAAGCAATTTGTCAGATTTCTCACCGCTCACTAGAGACAATTCATTTTTTATTCTAATTTGCCCATCACATATTGATTATAGAGAATGGAGATACATTTGGACTTTGATTGTCAAATGCTTCATCGTTTGAAATTGGAAAATAGCCTCTGTTATTAGATAGACCAGGGATGGAAAGTGTCACTGCTTAGCTGGATAGAGCTGTGCGGTGCTGTCTTGATTCCATTACATAGAATATTTCATTTCAACAACCAACATTTAACTGAAGCTGGCTCTTTCCAGAGCTAAATAAGTTTAAGAGCTATGGGATTCAAAATCAAATAGAGTGTGTTGGGTTTCTTTAAACAAGCCAATTGGTGTGATGTCATAGTGCTTATCAGCAGCTGTTGGTTTGAGAGTGGAAGTTTTGACCTGTGGGTGTTGTTTTGTTTTAGGAAAGGTCATTCTGGCGTCCACTAAGGCCGTGTACGTGCTTGTCCCGCTGCCTCTTGAGAGACAGATCCAGGACCTACTGGCCAGTCACAGAGTGGAGGAGGCGCTCATCCTCACAGAAGGAGCACAGCAAAATATCCCCAAAGACAAGTTCCAGGTAACGAACTGTTGCTTTGAATCTATGGCTGAAATGTTCTTATGTGTGATTGAAATGCCCTTCCATGATTTTGATATTACAAGAAATGAATGATAATATGATAGCTTTGCCTGGACTGTGACCTTCAATGTAAACTGTTACATTATTGACCATATTTTTTAAAGTAAAAAAACGATTGTCTCATATATTATCACTTGCTACAGATTTTGCACAAAAGGATCCTCCAGCAGGCGGGGTTCATACAGTTTGGCCAGCTTCAGTTTCTGGAAGCAAAGGAACACTTCAGGTGAGAGTCAGACCCTGGTGTTTCTTAAACTGCTCTGTTGTGACAACTCAAGAACCATTTAGGTCCAATGTTTTCCTGAAAAATATCCTTATGTGTTTTATTTTAAGTGATATCAAATACCCATTGAAATATCCTTTTCTATCACAACAGATATTAAAGATTGTGCAGCTATGAGGAATGGTCTTCCTTCTATTACTGCGTTCTAGTTCCTGTAGTTCCCTGCTTTTAGATTGAATCCTTGATTGATTTGTTCACTAATATTCTCAGGAAGGGTCAGCTGGACGTTCGGGAGCTGATCTCTCTCTACCCTCTGCTGCTGCCAGCTTCCTCTTCCTTCACACGCTGCCACCCTCCTCTTCACGAGTTTGCAGACCTGAACCACCTGGCGCAGGGCGACCAGGAGAAAGTGCTGCGATGCAAGAAATTCCTCATCAGTTATTTGGGAGAGGTAAATGGAATGATAAAAAAAGATGTATATGCATGTTATAATGGAGAGAGTTCACGCCTCAGTAGTCCATGTATTACTACATCCGTAGCCATTGTTTTGTCTTCTCTCCGAACACAGGTACGAAGCACAGAGGTGGCCAATGGCTGCAGAGAGGACGTGGACACGGCTCTGCTGAAGCTGTATGCTGAACAGGACCACGACAGCCTCCTCGACCTGCTAGCTTCAGACAACGCCTGCCTGCTAGCAGACAGCGTCCCGTGGCTGGAGAAATATCACAAGTGTGTAATCATTTTGGTTTCGTGCTCTTACTTTTAAGATACGTTTGTGTAATTTCTTTCAAAACGCAAAGGAAATGCCTGTATTATAACGCAGACATTTTAATTTGTTTAGGCCCTTCACATGTGTAGATGGGCTCATATAATTACAATTCATCTGAAACAGCAATCAAATATCATAACTATATATTCCACAGTCACCCAACACATTTTAGATGGATAAATAGCCCTTAAGGTAAAGACAATGTAATGATTTGATATTGAACCATCCCATTTACAACTGTATCCAGTTTAGTCCAGCTAATTTCATATGTTGTACAGAAACAGCCTTTGCTATACTCACTGTCTTTTTTCCTCTTGTAGATATTTTGCACTTGGGCTTCTCTATCATTACAATAGTCAGGATTCTGCAGCACTTCAGGTATGTGCACCTAAAATGAGTCTTCTGAAGGAATCAGCGCCACCATTTTGTAGATATTTAACGAATCCCCTCTTCTTTTCTGACAGCTGTGGATCCGCGTTGTAGACGGGGATCTGCAGGACTCCACCAGGTCCGGCCTCTATGAGTACATCGTGGACTTCCTCTGCTCCTGCTCCAACCCGGACCTCGTGTGGAAGCATGCAGACTGGGCCTTGGCTAAAGATCCCACGGTACGTCACCAGCACTTTAGATGACCTCAAGGATCATTCTATTATTCATTGTAAAAATGTAAACACAAGTATAATTTCTCCATTGTCCACATTATTCGAATGCAAAACAATGGAGTCAGGAGGGCAGCAGAGATGTGATCAGTTTTAGTTTTGTTTTCAGTTCCTTACAAAAGTCCTCATTTAGCACCCTTATATGTACCGATCAGTGACGTGCGGTGAGGTTCATGGCTGGTGAGGCACTGACTCTTTCAGAGTCAGATTTACAAATATTATATTTTGACAATAATCGGAATATTCTGTTATTTTCAAAAGCTTTTTTAGTCTGATGTTTCGATTAATTTTAAACAGACTGTTCAACAAAAGGATTTTTAACATTTTTAGTTTCATTTAAATATTGGATTGTTCTCTCTTAGTAAGATCCAATTTTCAATACAATTTTGGTCTTACCTTGACTTGAAGATGAAGTCCATTTGCCTATCCTTCTAGACAAAGATCTTTTTTGCGTAGAATAACAGAAGCAACAAGAACCTGTGGGTTCGCGTGCGGCCCCTTCAGTGCGGCAGAGGTTATGGCTGCCTCCCCTGGTGCATTGCCGTTGTATGATGAGACCAGCGAGCCTAAATATCATATATACGTGAAATAAGTTATTTAGAGACTATGCATGGGGCGGATACATGTAATAAGGAGATCTACAATCTACCTACAGTGAGATGGTAACAGGCATGCGCTTAGTGCCCGCGCTCCAGCAAGTTTCTGTGGGGTGACGCATCTGAGGTGAGGCAGATCTCATCTGGGCCTCACCTCACCCCGCAGTAACTGGCTGGAGCGCGGGCACTAAGCGCATGCCTGTAACCATCTCATATTTGAGCTAAATTAGTGCCCGCGCTCCAGCCAGTTTCTGTGGGGTTACGAGAGGCAGAGCTCGTCCCTGCCTCACTTCTCATCGCTACCCGTAGTTGTAGCGGAGCTCGGCAAATTTGCCGATTTTGACTATAAAAAGCGATTGGAATCAAACAGAAATCACATTTACAACACAGATCAGTGGAGACATTTTATTATTATTATTTTTGTTTTTGTTTAGTTTTTTTCCCGTCACATTGGAGTATGACAGGTGAGTCTCTGCCTCCCCTGACTGCAGAGATGGGGTCGTTACTAAAAAAAAGTAATATATTACATATTACTTTTAAAAAAGTAATATATTACACTACTTCGTTACTCTCTACATAAAGTAACTCGTTACTTTACTCGTTACTTTACTCGCAGGGCCGGCCCGCCCCTCCCTACAGGCAGATCACGCAGACTGCGGCGCACCTACAGTGTAAGCGCGCCACAGTTTTGCCTCTGCGAGACTCCACTTGCACCCCCAATTACTATTGCATTAAGGAAGACATAACACAAGTCTTTCTTTTTATATGCTCTAAAATAGGCTACCAGCCTACCACAACAAGCTAACAGTCTGTGAAACGTCAATACACTAATTAATGAAACCAGTTCAAGACGCATTATTCTTATCATTCTTTATGAGCGCATAACGGTAAGGTATCTAATTACTTATTTATTTAGTATTCCATAACTTAATAACATAGATGGTCAAACTAAAGTGGTAGAGACAGAATTCCTACAATGAAGCGGGACATTGAACTGTTCACCCGTGAGAGGGCGATCAACAAAAGAGAGCGAGCGGCCCGTTGAGGGAGTTTACAGATGAAAAGACTCAGCCATGTTTATGCAGCACTGCACGTGGATATGTGGTCTCGCAAGTCGCGCAGATTACATAGGCCTACATGTATATAAACCTGCGGCGGAAACCCCTCTTGTCTGTCAGTGAGTGTGATTATCTTATAAAAGTAACGAAGTAACGCGTGTCGGGCCAATGTTAGTAACTGTAGTGTGATTACTGAATTATAAAAGTAACGCGTTACACTACTCCGTTACCGACAAAAGTAATATTATTACAGTAACGCGTTACACCCAACTCTGCCTGACTGCACGTCGCTGGTACCGATATACAACTCCATTTATGTGTGGATTGATACACTTCCAAATGTTTGTAATACAATACTTGTATCACTGGTATTCTGCATGCTTTCTCCTTCATGCCTGGTTATTTCTAACCTTCGTTTGTGTTCACAGATAGGTGTCCACATCTTCACTAAGAGGCCAGTCAGTAAGGATGTGACGGAGCTGAACCCTGAGGAGGCCATCACATATCTGGGGAAGCACAGCCAGGCGCTGCTTCTCTTCCTGGAACACCTGGTGCTGGAGAGAAAGATAAAGGTACATTCCAAATGATTACAAACATATCCTCGATCCTAGGATACATCGTAGATCACGTGTCAACAAGTGGTTGGCTTTCTCCTTGAGCAATATACACAAAATATGTGCAAGCGATGCTGATCCAAATGAGGGTTTCTGCAGGCTAGCAAGCAGCATTAGATGAGTTCCCAAGCAGTAGCACTTCTCCAAAGTACTGAGTTGCATTATTATTATATTTACATGAACTGAAACAGACTCTCTATTGACCACATTCTAAATATGTCACAGTGGCTCAATTTCCCTTGACTTACAATTCGGTAAAGAACATGTACATCATTCATTTCTACCTGGCTCATCACTGCAGTACTGCGACACATAAGTACTGGAAGGATGCATTTTTGTATGTGCTTTTAAAACTTAATTTGAAACCGATTCTCCTGATTTATTGATGGTTACAAAGGTGGATCCTGTCCAAACATAGTTTTTTCTTTTTAGGCCTCGCACTGCCCACAACAATGGGCTTTTTTTTGTTTAGTCAGTCTATCCCATTCCTATCGATGCAATGCGTCAGCAAAGCCTTGGGGGAATTTCTTCAAATTGACCACAAAGGCCCTCCTGGGCTCAAAGATGGATGGATAAGGAACTGGTGGTCAAAGGTCAATGTGTCCTCAAAAACAAGTTACTGTCATTACTACTTTGTATGCTAATTATCTGATGCAAGTTGTATGTAATACTGCACTTTTGAGCCCATCTTTCATTGTCTTTCAAGTAAGCTTATTAGAAAACGCTCTTAATCAAGGTTTTATCTGAATATTGTTTTTATTTTTAAGTGTATCTGCTTTCCTATTGAACTCAGATAGTTTTCTCTCATGTTTGTGTCTGCAGAAAGAGAAGTTCCACACTCACCTGGCCGTGTTGTACCTGGAGAGAGTTCTGTCGCTGCTGTCGGAGGCGCCAGCAGATGAAGAGCGCCTCAACAGAGCGAGAGAGCGGCTCCAGGCTCTGCTCAGGGAGTCCAACCTTTACCGGGCACAGTTCCTTCTAGGTGAGCCACAGCTCGGAAGATGCCTCAACACGGACATATTTGAATCCTATGATGGATCTCTCTATGTTTGTGTAAAGTTTGACGTAATGTGAGGATGTTTAGCTTGAGAATGACAAAGCTCTGCACATATTAATGTACTTCTAACACATATAGTTTGACAGTTGTGGAATCAGAAATGCTATGCAGGCTTAGTGCTGCTTCGAGGTGGAAAGGTGGAAAATCATTTATAGAAAGATGTGATACAGTAGGTCTCAACGAGAGTTCACATGCAGGTTTTGTTAATGTTTCCTTTCCTCCTGCTCTCTTTAGGTAAGATGGAGAACTGTGAACAGCTGCTGCTGGAGCGTGCAACACTACATGGTAAGCTGGAGGAGAATGACAAAGCTCTGCACATATTGGTGCACAAGCTCAAAGACTTCTCGTCCGCTGAGGCCTTCTGCGTCTGGGCCTCTTCTTGTCGGGATTCTGCATACCAACATCAGCTCTTTCACCTGCTCCTGGAGGTGTATCTAGACCGGAGCCTTCCTGGAAAGTCCCAGGCAGCAGCAGCAGGGGGTGGAGAGCTGGAGATGGCGGCAGTGGATCTCCTGAATCGCCATGGCGAGGTGTTCGATGCAGTCCGTGTGCTGCGCATGCTCCCTGAGGGCTGGTCCCTGCAGCTGCTGCGGCCCTTCCTGGGCCGAGCCGTCAGGGCCAGCATGCACGCCGGCCGCACCGCGCAGATCGCCGTGGGGCTCGCCCAGTCCGAAAACCTCCAACTGCTCCACGACAGGGTGAGGAACACATGACCGTACCCAAAAACATTAAACTCAGTCAAATACTTAATCATACTTTTAAAATGTGATGTTTTACAGGCTATGGTTATTTATTTAGTTAATGTTTTGTTGTCACAATATGAATAACTAATTTATCAATCCTGAGTCAACCAAACAATTATAAATAAACAACTAAAGAAAAGCTGCATATTTAAGGGTTTTACTCATGGTCGCCCCCAACCATTTAAAAGAATATACTCTATGCTCATTGGTGCTTTGTAACACTGCCCTCGTGTTTCTTTCTCCTCAGTTGAAAGACCGGAAGAAACCGATCTTTGTGTCTGAGAAGAAAGGATGCCACCTGTGCCACAACACCTTCAGCGAGCCCGACGTGGTGTGTCTGCCAGGTGGAGCGCCTGTCCACACACACTGTGTCGCCCAGAGAGTAAGAGACTCTCCCACTAAGAGACAGTTAACTAATAGCAGTAACCACACGTGAGACTTGACCCTGTAAGCTACCATGTGACTGATCGGAGGCACTAAAGCAGGACGTACTGAGGACTGTGGGGGATAACAAAAGCACAGAACATGATGAGAAACACAAACAAAGCTGTGTGTGAGAGTGCAAGGGAGAAACCTATGATTTCTTCTATTTATATATCCCGTGCTGCAATTGTACCAAACTGTCTGAAGTAGGAACAACAGCAGTCCGGCTGCCCAATAATCCATTTCTTAAAGAGGGGCCTCCGTGCTTATCCGTAGACTTCAGGGCGGTCCCGGTGAACTACAGAACACACAATATTTGAAACCTGTTCCAAATATTTCTGAAGCATGCATATTATTACCACTCTTACAGTTGTGGTCTAATCCCCTCATGGGTATTGTATTAATATTGTCCTAACTTGCACATTGCATTGTTTTAATGTCAAATACTACAACCTTCAGTGCTGATGCAAAGAGTCTCTGGCTGTCTTCTACTCTCTGTGATCTGGTCTCCCTGCTGCTTTATTTCCCCCTGGATGTTGGACTCGCAGTGTTTCAGTTCAACAGTTTGATCCGGGGACTTTTGGTTTTCAACCTTGTGTCGTGTGTGGAGCAACAACAGTGAAATCATCACTCAAACTGCTTCAAGGACCCTCAGAACAGCCCGCTTATGCCAACCAAAACATCTTTACCAATAATATGTCAGTAGGTTGGAAACATATCATCTAATCATGTGAAATCAAGCTTCATACATTTTGTCTATTTTTAAGTTACAAATGAAATAAATCAAGAGGGATATTAATGAACCACTCGCCTGCTTTCATACCGTAGATATATTGTGTTTGATTGGCTCATGTTCTAAGTGATAAAGATAGTTCATTTTAAATCCTGTCAACCACAAAACAAATATCAACCGGAGGCGAAATGTAATAATAATTAGAAAGTCCAATTAAAGATATCTGTTATTCTGACTTCTCTTCAGGAAAGGGCTGGGAGGTCATTTGTTCCAAACATTTACATTTGTATAATGTGAGATCGTTGTAATGAATCTACTTCATTACAACCTGTGGGCTAATAAGATATGTTAACTGCTTACATATTGTGATGTAAGAGATGTACAGTTTTTATTTAGGCCGTAAACAAGTATTTGAACCCAAGAAGGCAGTTCTTTTTAAATCAAATGAGTTACAGGTGGAACCTAATGGAAATGACTTAATGGTGTTCTTTATCATTACTCAATATGCCCTGAATGTGCTTTTTATAAGAGTGAAACAAAACACGAGAAATATATTAAGCTGTTTGGAACAAATACTCCAAACCTGATCCATCTTTTATTATTCTACTTCAGATCACAATCTATTTCCACAACCCCTGGTGGTCCAATCAATGATTACAAGTGTCGTGTATAGCAGGTGATATGGATAAGGATGCATTTCTACCACATTCCTAACAAAGGCCAAGGATGACTAAATGAAACTGCTGTCTCATAATACATTATATTGCAATGCGAAAAAGTGATTCACTTACTTATGTTTGAAAATTAAGAAAACACAAAACATGGCTTTGATGCACCGACAACATCTTGCTACATCTCTACTCATTTGCAAAGAGTTTATATTGAATGATCTCAGGCTGCATGGAATTGCTTATAACGAGAGGTTTACAACCCTGGCAAAAACACAGTTATTAAAATAGCAATATTGACAGTCGTATGTGAAAAGGAATCCTTACTCACTTCTCACTTTATACAAGGGTTTCATTCAAATTTGCTCTGAAAAACAGAATATTGGTACTTCCAAAAACAAGTCTCCATGAACCCCGATTGTTAAACATTGCTTCAACAAGTTTTCAACAGAAGCAAAGAACACAAGTGCGTCTTTTATATTTGAATTAATTTACAGGTATTTCTTGTTTCTCTGCTGCCTGTGCTATTGATTCTAGCCTCTTGTAATTGCAACACATTTCTGTGAGGGAACTTTGTGCACTCATGGGACTATTTTTCTAACATGGAGATCTAAGTTTTGTAATTCTTTTTTGGCTTGACTCGCTTTCTTTGACAGCAACTCACAGCTTATGCACAGCATCCTTCTATCCGGACAATGTCAGTGGAGCTTGCTCAAAAAGCATCCTAACCATGACGTCAAATAATTAAAAGAAAAAACTGTTGTGTGAAAAAATACTATTGTATTTTATAAATATATGTATACTTGTATGTATATACTGCATTTGTACTTGTTGCTTTCTAAATCAATGCCAATGTGGATGGAGTGTACAAACTGTAAATCTGTCCCATTTTAATAAACATGAAACTGTACATCAACTTATGGTGTTTCAATTTCACACCTAAAAAGTATTCCCCTGGTGTTTAGAGTAGACGTGATTTTTAAAGTATTGTTTTTCTTCAATAGGTTTTTTTTTCATTTGACCAAGGGAATCTGAATCAATGCAGCATTGTGTTTCAACACTGGACTAGTAGGACATAGATCTTTTAATTGGATATAAGTGGGGGTTATTTTTATTTTAACATTTTATTGAAACTCCAATATAGAAGTCTTGCTTTTACAATAGCTTCAATGTATAATGTGACTAAGTGATTCCATATAAATGCATCATTGTAATACTGCACTGGACGACATTCCTTTAGATTTTAGTGTCTAAAATATTTTATTGAAAATTCAGCATTCTCTATAAAGGTTTTTTTTCCTGTGTCATGTCACTCCATATCAAAGCAGATTTGTAATACTAGGCTGAACAAGTAGGTCACCCCTATATTGTATTTGGATTTGAGTGTTTTTAATATTTGTTGGTTTTGTTTTAATTTAGTTATCATAAAGACATGTTACACACTCCGTACAGCAGGTGGCGACATGCAACTAAGACATTGGTTGCATTGAAACCAAAAGAAGAAGAAGAAGCATCACAGCAATGGCAGCGACCTTGTATAGAGCTTGATGTTAACAATGCTTTAATGAGTTACCACCTTATAATGCTCTTATATCGATCACACACAGTGACAGTTTGGTGTTTATAGAGTCCATTCAAAGGGTAATATCATGTTTTCCATCATAAAGGCTGCTGTCGGCGGATTGACTGCTTTGTGTCGAGTGAACGGTCACCAGCAAGGTAACAAGTCAGCTCAGTTCATGTGTTAATTCTTCCTTTATTGCGTTAGAAGTTAACAAAACAAGCTAATGTATGGTCTTTATTAGGCATGACATGTGTATATGCATATCAATTGGTTTGTTTCACATAGTCCGTAAGCATGTGCACTTAAGCTTTATATTTCAGAGTAGGCGAATACAATATTTTAAACTCATAGTTTTTGCACAGGTCTTAGTCATAAAGGTAGAGCATCAGAATGAAGAGCAATAATTAAGGCACGACCAACTACTAACACAGAGCAAAGCAAATTATACATATATATATATATATATATTAAAACATTTATAAAGTGAAAACAGTTTTCACTGTAGTTTAAAACAGTTGGCCTACAGTACATAGATACATTAGAGATGAATGAAGGGGACCAATATTAACAACAGTCTACTTTTACACAATTTAGACACAGTTACGTCTAAAAGTAAAAAATAACTGTACTTTCAAATGGGTCTTGTTCTATTCAAATAGGAAATATCAGAGAAAAACTAATACAATTGCTACAGTTTCTCTCTCTGGCTGAGGTTTGGCTGTGAACTGAGCAGTAGTGCACATTAGCAGTAATACATGACAGTTCTGTAATCTTCTGTTTGTTCCACAGGTCTTTTACATGGCCACCTGAAAGTCCTGGCTGCTGGCCTTAAGACACGTGACATCCCTCCAGACCACAGTGGTAATCATTTAGTTTCTACATTAGGACATTGTTATATTTACACAATAATGCTTACAGTAGATGTCTGTCCTTGCTCCAGTCTTTGGACTTTTAAAATCTTACATCGACATGCATGCATGATGCACTATGAAAATGTTCATAATTCCTCACTTGTTTTTTCCTCTAAAGATGTGGTGCTGCCAGACAGACGCAAACTGAAGTTTGTGAACAAGATGCCTAACTTTAAAAACGCCAAGAAAGAGATGAAGAATCTGAAGGATATCCAAGGCCCAGCGACGACAGCCAATGCCTTCACTAAGGGAGAGTTTGCTATTGTGGTGAGTGGATTTAATGTTAAGAGACTGCTGATATCTGCAGCTGCTTAAGGCGTTCAAGCATATGAAGATCATGTAACCTGCAGTATTGTATTACTTGAATTTATTATTTAACCTTATGTAACTGTATACAGTATAAGCAGGTTCTTAATAGCACTTATTTCAACGTATTATACAACGTAAAATAATGTTTATTTTTACTTAGCTTTCTTCTTCACAAAAATGATGTAACTATATACTTATGCAAAGCTTAAAAAAAATACTATATAGCAAAACATGTACTCAATACTCATTTGTATTTGTATTATTTTATGCACCTAATGCCAAGAGAATAATACATACTTGTTTTAGACCATGAAAAACTGACCTCCCTCTTGTCTGTCTCTTATGCTCAGGCCATGGGAGGAGGCTACCTTCATTGGGGTCACATAGAGATGATCCGTCTAACCATCAATCGCAAGATGGATCCCAAGACTACATTTGCCCGTTGGCGTGTCAATGGCCCATATAAGCCTGTCACACGTAAAGGTCTGGGTATGCGCATGGGCGGGGGCAAGGGAGCCATCGACCAATACGTGACACCTGTGCGCTACGGCCGCTTTATTGTGGAAGTCGGAGGAAAGGTGGAGCTTGGAGAGATTCAGCGTATCATGACTGAAGTGGCACAAAAGCTACCCTTCAAGGCCAAGGTGAGATGACTGATACTGTATATACTGAACTTCAGACATACACTCTTACATTCACTTTCAAAATATCCCTTAACTTTGTTTGTGCACTTTTTTCAAAAGCATATTTTGGTGAATCATACTTTATTTATATAAACAGCTGCCAGTCGATTAGGTATACTTTGCTAAAAACAAATGCAGAAATACAACAAGTCTGCAATAAATCATACCTCAATGAAGATCTTGATAAGGGATCCGTCCATATAGGGTTTTATCTATATACTAAAAGACTCCTAAAAAGATTACAGAGATAATTTAAAGAACATTTAAACACAATGTTGCTTTCTTTGTTTAATGCTTAAATTATTCATGCATAAATACACTTGAGGATCCATATAAAGCCAAAGGGAGTGTATCAGTAAATTCTTAAAAACAACTCGTTCTTTGTTTTGTGGACTTCCTATAGGTTTTTAGCAGAGCGAGCCTAGCAGCCTTTCAGAAGAAGCATGCTGATATGGAGCAGAACAACCAGAATCCCTGGACCTTCAAGGAGATAACGCTCGGCAACATGTTGGGGATCAGGAAAGTGCTCAGCCCCAAAGACCTGTGCCACAACGGACGCTTTGCAGGCAAATTTCACCTCCCATGGAGGGTGTGACAGACCTGAGGGACATACGTGGCTGCAGTGTCTGTCATACTGTTTACCATCCAGACCTAAATATTCAGTACATTTTGGGAATCTTCTTTCATTTTTGTTTTTTTACACACGTATTAGTGGATTTAACATTTGTCTAAGGGATATTTCTTTAATTTCCTGCTTTAAAGTACAAATAAACTAAATAATTCAATTGCATTTTGTCAATTTGAATTTAAAGCTCTTTATGTGTAATCTGCTGAAAAAAGGTGTGAAACGGAAGTGAAAATAAATCTCCTGTCACCTAAAAATACCTGTTTTTATTTATTGTTTAACAAGTAATTAAAGGCTGAATGTGAAATTCCAATTGCTGTCTTGCTGGAATAATGTAAATGGGGTATATGGAGTAAGATATATGCATGATAATTATATTTGGCATAATTTTAAATCTATTTTGAGCAGGGAGCATTAATATCTAACAATATTTTACACTTATCTGGTATTCAAAGATGGTTTAGCTAAGTCAATATCAACATTTACATATTGCAACAACTCTGCATGAACCTGCGGTCTGAGAAATTAAAGCAAAACTCATCTTTCTTATCTTTGTTATAATTACAAACTTGTTAGATTCAAACAGCCAATAAATCCCTCCATAGTGTTCATGTGTTCAGAGAAGCTAATGAAAACATTCTTCAAACATACAATGTTTTCAATACACTGTGACTGCAGCATTGTGTTTATTATGCCCATCGTTAACTTAATAGGCGTTTGACATTGTGACCATGCTGGGATCATAAATGGATTACTGAAGGAACCTACTGGTCCTTCACCTACAACATGTCACTCAAAGAGACATGTAACAACCTCTCTGGTAACAACCAGGAAAATATTCTAAATGACCGCAGAGAAACATACAACAACTACTAAGGAGTCGGACGTTTAAGCAGACTCATGACCACTGTTGAAATAAAAAAAACAACCACAAAAAAACTCAAAATGACTACAAAAAGGGTCAAAACAATCACAAACAAACATAACAACAAAAAGACCAAGACAATTTCAAAGAGATACAAATTGAGAAAAAAACGTGTCTTGTTCCTATGTAGGAGATGGGATGGGACCTTTGTCATGTGGGTTTTGTTTTCTCAAAGAAGTCTGCTGATTCATGATGTATGATTCATACAATAATAATTCTAGTGTGAATATGATGCCTTCAAATGTTGTGTTAGGCCATGACTTCTTAGCCTTAGATGAATAGCTGCCTGTCAGTCTTGACTCTGGGAAAAAGCACACTATTGACGCATGCGCATTACGTGCTAACCTGTTCGAAAACAGCAGCGCGGTAAAGTGCCTCAGCTGATGACAACAAGTCCAGTTTACGATTGCATTTGTATAAAGTTGTATATCAAGTATTAGGTATTCATTTGTCCAACAAGGGAACTTCTTTTTAATGTTGCTATTGTTATTTACGTTAGCCTAGCCAGACGCTATAACAGCTAACGTTACATTAACTTTACATTCACTTCATCGTGATCTAAGCTAGCTCACGTTAGCAGAGATGAAGCCTGTAAGAGGCTCTAACCAGGCCTCTACAAAAACACCTAACATGAAGAAAAATAAAAAACCTGTCCAGAGGACTGAACAAAAATCAGCAGAGAATCAGGTAAGATCAGTTAATACTCCAGCTGATGTTGGCTCCTGTCAGCAGTCTCCTGTTAACGTCAACAATGTGTGTGTAGGACCCAAAGCCCAGTGGCAAGAGCACCCAGCCAAAAGCAGCCAAGAAGAGGAAAGGTTAGAAAAACCCTTCATAGCACAATGTGATGTCATGTCTCTTCAGATGTTGAATATAAATACGTTTCAGCCCACAAAACAAGCCTAATGCAATGTTGTTACTTTCTCTTGTCATTGTGTTGTTCCTGTTTGTGTCCTGAAATAGCTGAGGTCTCACCTTCAGTCCCTCACAAAGTCAAAGGAGAGGAAAAGTGGAGGTCTATGCCAGCATCCTCCATCATTGCTCTGGAAAACATGATGGATTTGTCCATACTGTGAGTTTCACTGTGTTGTTTTACAGCTTACTACTCCTGAGTGTTACCCTTAAAAAGTAGTATTTTCTTATTTTCCATATATAGACTCGGGCCACTTTGTAAGGTATACATGTAGAAAAACTATTGATTGGATTGGGAGGCGTGTGTCGCAGTGGATAGAGCCTTGGTGTTGGGATTAGGGGGGCACAGGTTCAAATCCCACTGCAGTAAGCATGTCGTTGTGTCCCTGGGCAAGACACTTCACCTCAAATTGCTCCTGTGGGGATTGGCCACAGTATTAAGTATGTAAGTCGCATTGGATAAAGGCATCTAACAAGTAACATGTAATGTACATTGCATTCAGCTGACGCTTTTATCCAAAGCGACTTACAATAAGTGCGTTCGACCAACAAAATACAAACTTGAAGAAAACAGAATCATATAAGTACATCAGGTTTCATAGAGCAAACATATTTCAAGTGCTACTCAACTGGCTTTAGGTAAGCCAGCCCTTTATTAGTATATAAATGCTTTGTTAATAGTTCTATCGCTCGAAGTGGAGTCGAAAGAGATGAGTTTTCAGTCTGCGCCGGAAGGTGTGTAAGCTATCTGCTGTCCTGATGTCAATGGGGAGCTCATTCCACCATCTTGGAGCCAGGATAGCAAACCTACGTGTTTTTGCTGGTGGGAACTTGGGTCCCCCTCGCAGCGAGGGTGCAGCGAGCCGTTTGGTTGATGCAGAGCGGAGTGCACGTGCTGGGGTGTACGGTTTAACCATGTCCTGGATGTAGGAAGGGCCAGATCCATTCGCAGCATGGTACGCAAGTACCATTGTCTTGAAGTGGATTCTAGCAGTTACCGGAAGCCAATTACACAATCAATTATAGATTTTATCAATAGTTATCAGTTATGGTTTACAGTTTGAGACATATTTTAACTTTACATTTTTTTGTTTATTTATTGTGCCTAGAGTTATATTGATAAACGGGCCAGTTTGTTGCCGGCATGTCAGTATTGGTGAAGAATAAGCCTAGTGACGACTCGATTAACAATAGATTTAAGTACAGAAATGCCAACTATTTATGAGGTTCTTTTAGAAAAGAATTCCCCTTTTACATTATTTGTTAGCCAGAGATCACAGACCATTTGATTAATTGTCATTAGGTTTTTTAAACTTTCAAATATTGATAAAGGTGGGATAGGTATCAGCTTAAAATATATAGCTAGGGGAGGCTGTGGCGCAGTGGTCTAGTGCGTTGGGGTTCGGATCAGGGGAGCACAGGTTCAAACCCCACTGCAGTCAGCATGTCGTTAGACCACAGTATTGAGTATGTAAGTCGCTTTGGATAAAAGCGTCTAACAAGTGACATGTAATGTAATGTAATATAGCTATAATAATAATTGAAGCCAGCCATTTCCCCCTAAAGACTATGAGGCATTTGAAATACAGCAGAATAAATGGTTCAACATATTTATCTTCTTGTCCTGTTTTCCCCAGAGCAACTATTGCTTTGAGGCGGAAAGAGAAGAAAGAGAGCCGGGAACATCTAAACATAATTAAAAGCAGGTGAGAAATTATTCTGAAATAAGGATAAAAACGAATTTCATGTGCCTGGTATCTTGTAATTACAGGTGCTTACATATTTCCCTAACTTTTTTTTAGGTTTCTTGCTAAATGTGCAGAGCTAAAAGTTCCAGTGCAGAAACAAAATGAGTGTTTTTCTCAGAGCCACCAAGAGGAGGCCAAGAAGTCAGGGGTGGGGAAGAAGACCCTGAGCACAATGGAGGTGAGAAACACTGGAGTCTGGTGAAGAGGCTGGAATATTTTAAAAATGTAAACCTTAATTTAATTTACATTTCAGTTGGTGCTGAAACTATTAGTTGATGTATATGTTTGATTGGAAATACATGGACAGCATTACAAGTTATTTCTTAAAGAATTAAAAAAGCAAAACATGTTCAGCTCTTGATATCTAATCTAGTTTACCTCACTGGGATATGCAAGGAGGGTCATTTTTAAATAGGTTGTGGCTATCTATTGACTAAATTATAAATTGATTATGGAATAAATAATCACATCATTTATGAAGATAATTGTAAGCTTCAGTCCTATATGCAATAAACCTTAAAGCAATGTCGTCCATCTGCCTTGAAAATACATAATGTTTGGGTATTTCAGTGCATTAATTGATCTGAAATATAAATGAGTAAATGTATGTTATTGCGTTACATGATGTCTTGTTGTGTTTTCAGGAAAACCTGAGATCTGTGGTCCGTGCTCTGGAGAAGACGGAAGAGCAGGCCGACTCTCTACAGAACACATGCAGCGTGCTGAGGGAGCAGGTAGAGGAGGAGGAGGAGAAAGCTAAAGAGGTGCCAGCATACAGATGTATTTTATTTTATGAAATGTCTTTGTGTCCTGAGCTGTAAAAAGACGGTTATTTTTATATCTTTATTTCTTTATTTTATAACTCATTGTTACTAACTTAAGTGCACCTGTCATGCTATTTTTAGGCAATAGCATAGGTCTCAGATATATACAAATATATAAAAAACATGTCTATGAAGTGTTTTGCTCAAAATACCAAACAGATCACCCGTTCTAGCCATGCCTCATATCCCTCCATTTCACTTCCTGTTTCAAAAGTGCTGATTTTGGGTATAAAGCTTTAAAAAAAAAAAATTGATAAAAAATAAATAAAAAAGGTGGGGGCTGAGCTCATGCGGGACCCGCAGCTACTGTCTAAACTAAATACTGCCGTGATGAAACGCCATATCATGGATTATCAAGGATTATTTCTGAAACAGTATGGAGCTCAAAGGCTTTCTCTCTTGCCAGTTATACCACAAGGTGAGTTCCTTTTTACTTCCTGCTTCTTCACACACGTGCTCTCCAGTACAGGTTAGCTCTGAGTGTTAGCGATGCTAATGTAAACACCGACCATATTACGTCCAAAACAGTCGGGCATTGTTTCTGATAGCAACTTTCTGATAGTGCTGTGGGTCTGCATTGCCGATTTGACTTCATATCGGACACAAATCTGGATCAGCTCCGTTGTAGCCCCGTTTTTAGAGATTTGGGTACGGAGGAAAAGAGAGAGGGTTTTATTTTCTGACACTGCGTGAGTTCCCTGACACACGGGGACACATATTTATGTATAAAAGACATCAAAAAGTGCATTTTTTATGATAGGTCCCCTTTAAAGCAGCTAAGAATTCCTTATTGTTTTAATTTGAAGGCATGAAACTGGAGCTGCAGCAACTGATTTTTATTCATATCGATTAATCTGCAGATGTTTTCTTTGTATATATAATACCCTAGTCTTACACATGGAAATTGTATACTTCAGAGAATCAAACAACTTGTTTCGTTTGACTAAAATGCCAAATGGCCCCAAAATTAGTTTACAATGCTTTGTGTCAAAGAAAACCAGGAAACCTCTGATTATAAGATGCTGCATTCAGATACTGTTTCACTATTTCTGCTTTAAAAATGATTGAAATTATTAATCACAAATAATTTCCAACTTTATTTCTGACAATCCACAAATCATTTCAGATGTTATTGAAACACAAATGAGAGATTATTGGTGTAGCTTCCTTTTTATCCATCCAACTTCTGGCCTACGGTGTGACATCTGATGTATTATAGCACCATTAACTCCAATGTAAGTGCTGTACAAAGACATTTTAACAAAAAAACCATTACAACATTAATCAGGCTGTTTCAGTAAAATAGGTGACGGAGAAAAATAAGTGGTTAACTGCATTTCTCCATATCAGCCTGTCGGTCAGAAGTGAACAGCATGTTGAAATGTGGCTGTTCTGTGGAAGCCGACATAATGGGTGTTAGCATTAGCAGGAAATGACCGTGAGATCTGTTTTTATGATATACTTTATAGAATATAACAAAGCAGACATTTGCAGCATGTCTTTTTCCTTCGCCTCATCTATTAGATACAAATATGTAAATCTTTTCTCATGCAGTCCAATTCTCCTTCTTTGTGTTCATGCAGATCCAACAGATAGCTGAACAAGCAAATCTCAACCTTCCCTCCCTCCCTTCACAAAAAGATGAATCAAGATTAGAGGTGAGCAAGGGTGGGGAGCACATTCATGAAATCTAGTATTAGCTTTGACTTGTTCCTGTTGCATAATAGCTGTTTTCACAAGCTTCACTTATTGTTTGACACTTTTTCCTTTGAATAAGACGTTGTCAAAATATCTGAGTGGGCACTTCTCTATGCTACAGGAAAGTCTTAACATGTTCTGTGTTGGGCAACAAGATATGAAATCTGTCTTACGAAATGCAGAGAGAGAACAATTGTGCTTCTGTTGCGTCAGAGATACATTTTTACAAAACGGTCGTAATACATATCGTTTAAACAAAATCACACATGTTTTGGTTTTCCTCAGGCTCGATTGAGAAAGATTATACCAGAAAGTGACTCTGAAGCCACTGCCCGCAAACTTGGAGAAATCCTGCAGGAATCAGAGACTACTGAGGGTACCCAAGCGCTTCTTCTGCAGGCACAGAGACAAGCCAATCAGCTGTTCATCCCTGGCTCCGCCCACATCAGTAGTGCACCGTCTTCTTAGACAGGTCTGAAATGTTAAGGATATGTATACATGTAAGAAGAAGAAGAAGAAGTGTGTACGCATTATTTTTCCTGTGCTAATATTACTCAGTTCTACTTTTTGTGGTGGTTAAACACCTGCAAAAATAACATGGCGCAAAAAATGTGGCAAATATGTGAAGAACTAGAAAAAAGTCTAACTGGCAGCAATGGAAACAGAAAGAGAGAAACGCCTGTAGAAAGAAATGTAATCTGTGTGGTTCTTTAAGACCACATGTGGTTCATAAGGTTTCTTTAACATGTTGTCTTTATTGTAAAGCTGCCAGTACAGAGTCAGAGAGGAAACGGGGAGAGATGGGGAGGCATACATATAAAGTCTCCATTGAAACCGTAATTGAATCATTTTGCGGTCATGTGGTATACAGTGTACACCGTAACCATTCCCCATCTGAAGTGTGCAGTATTATTTAAAGAATTCGATGTCGAAGCATTTTACGTTTTTTATTTTTCATAGAAAGTCCAAATTCTCTTTATTCATCGTTTGAGCCTAAATAACTGAACACATAAACTTCATTAAAGAAATACTGTAACAGCAAATAAAGAGTGACTTGATGTCCATAATCAGAACCTTAGAGACATGAGTTAATGCTATGACTGTATGATCAGATATAATTAAAAACAACTAATTGACTTTTGTTCATTAAAGGTGACCTATTATGCAAAATCCACTTTTTCATGTCTTTTATACATCAACATGTTTCCCCTCTGTGTAGATTCTGAAAGTTTCAGGAAAAAAGATTCTCTCTCTTTTTGTCCTGATCCATTTATATTAAAAACCTGTCTGAAAATGAGCTGATCAGATTTTAACCACTTTATGATGTCATAACGATTTTTTTGGCTTGTGTAACCATTAGCCAATAACCAACCAAGGTACCCCCCCCCCCCCCACACACACCTTATCACCTGAATCTCCTCCTAGAGCACCATTGTTCTTTTTAACCAAATGTCTCACAGAGGGGCGTAGGGTAACAGACACAGAATCAGCACTTTTGAAACAGGGCTGAAACAGAGGGGTTTATGGGATGCTGCAATGGGTGATCTGTTTGGTATTTAGAGCCAAACACTTCAGAGACATGTTTTGTATATATCTGAGAACTATTATATATTGAAAAACAGTATAATAGGGGACCTTTAACATTTTAATGTAGGAATTAAACACATTTAAAGCATGACCATTCATCCCTTTTGTCAACAATGATGGAATATATAATATAGTTTTAACAAAAAACACATAAAGCTATCTGTGAATAACTGAAGTCAAGTCAGACATGTTAGTGGTGCATTCACCATAAGAGGATCTTCCTGCAACATGTTCACTTCCTGCTCAGTATGAGGTGTTTAGTCTATAGAGCAGGAGGTGATCATGTTGATGGATCTGATTCAATATTGATTCTGATAAGATAACATTCATTGAAACATAGCAGAGGTAGTATGAGCAAGCTTAACAGTGAGTCATCTTGGAGGAATCCAAAGGTTAACAAAGACTCTCCTGGGGCTAGGAAATTGGCATTGAAATAATCCTGGATTCATTCGGCTCGTTATTTACCATCAAAGTGTTCCCTGCCCAAGAAACTAATCGACAAGATGATTCATGAATTCATTTGTATGCCCAATTATGACCCTGCCTTCAGCGTGCTGTAACAGAAGCAGCATTTCTGGAGTCTTCAGTCATGTACTTTCACTGATGACACCTGCAGTCATATATCTTCTTGTTCTCAGCTGACAGTTGAGGAACCAGGCTTGTGTCAGTGTCTGATGAAAGATGTATCGCTCCTATTTGTCAATTCCTGGGAGATACACTCTGTCTCTGAAATCTCAAACCAGTTTCTGGAACCATTGATCCAAGAATTTAAATCAAACCAGGAGGAGGAATCATGTTTCATGAGGAGCTGAGATGTGGTACTATTATCAAACTATGACCCAGCTAAGACCATTTTAATAAAAATAACGTTAAAAAAACGCAATTGCTTTTGACATTGCAAAAAAAAAATTGAAATTATTCTTATGGTCAAATCTATCAAGATCACATATTTACATACAAGGAGTGTAATATTAATGCTATTGACTTATTTGTCCATTTGCCGTGGCTAATTAGCAGTAACTTCACCTAAAAACTGTCCTTGTCTTATTTACTCATTTTTGGTGGGTATGAGCAAATGGAGAAACCCACCAGTAAAGCGATTTCTCATTTTACAAAAACCAAAGAAATGTCTGGTTTTAATATAAAAACTACAACATTAATGCATTTTTGAACTCCTGGCTACATCTGTGAGTTTTTAAGAGAGTTTTTAAGTGACTTCCTTCGAAATGACTCTGAAGAGTCATCATTGAAAAGTCTTTCTAGGGTGGAGACAACTGAAGCTTTGATGGCACGACTTAAGCCTCGGGCAGCGAACACGTACAGCACCGGGTTGAGAGCGGACTTGATGTACACCAGGAACAGAGATACGTATACGCCCCAAGATGCTCGGATATACAGTGTCAATCGTTCAGGGCGCCCCACGGCCAAGGCCCGCAGGAACCGACAAACAAAATATGGCACCCAGCAGGTGAGGAAGAGGAGCATGGTGGCAAAGAGCACGTGGTACATTCTGGTCATCCTGCGGGCATTGGAAGGGTTGGAGGATGTCGGTGTTAAGGGCACTGCTTGCTGAATGGTGAGCACAACAGCCAGGTTGCTTCCCAGGAACACCAGCTGGGGCAAGATGAAACCTGCTATTGTTTCTGTGACAAACAGCCCAATGTCAAAGTTCCCGCTCTCTCTGCAATGGAGTGTCCCGTTAACGTCGATCAGCACAGCAGTGTGGAGGTAGGGGGCAGAGAAGATGGTGGCTAACAGCCATATGAGGCCACAGGCCAGAGGAACAGCCCAAGAGGGGCGTCGCAGGCGAGCCCACACAGGCTTCAGCAGACACAGGCATCGCTCCAGGGCCACAGCACAGAGGAGGAAGGCAGAGGCGTACAAGCCCAGGCCTCGCAGGAACATGACAAGCTGGCAGAAGACTAGGCCGAACGGCCAGCTGTAGTTGTGAGCCACGTAGCCCAACATTATGGGGGTGCGCAGGAGCAGCACCAGGTCAGCCAGGGCTAGGTTCAGGACATAAATCCTGAAACTGCTGGCAGCACGCGTCTCCTCACAGCTGCCTCTGCGTGCCAGGTGACGATTATGCCGCAGTCCAAGTGTCCAAACCACCAGCCCATTCAGAGGAACGCCAACCTAGAGACACCACGAAAACCAGGCACATTTAGGACGAAAGCCTTAGAGTAACAGACATAATACAGGGAATAATCTTGTTTGTTTTATTTCATTTTACAAAAATATCGACATCACTCTCATGTCATCGAAACCTAGTCTTTAAGCTTTACTTAGCATTAAAAATAACTCCAGGAAATGACTGCCTCTCTCCAAGAAATAGACTCTCCAAATGGAAATGAGCTGATGCAGAACAAGGGAAAGTTTGATATTTTTTAATACATATTAATCGTACAGATATGAGAGTGGTATCATCAACTCATCATCTAACTCTTAATTTAAAAACACATATAATACATACAAGAATACGTTTGCAAGTCACAGTCTAGTGAGCATGTTGTGTTTTCTCACCTGCAAACTTCCTAATCAACAGATTATCGAAACTATTATTATAGGTCCTATTTAGCAGCCCCTTATTCAGTGTTTTCCAGCGCTATGTGCAGTAGTAGTGTACAGTTTTATTAAAGGATTGCTCACCAGGAAGATAACCAGAGTAGCTGCCATTTGGACGCCCCTAACTGCCTCCACCTGCCATGAGTTGCTGGTGTTGAGGCTGATTCCTGCATGGACAGTCCCATTCATATTGGCCACTGAGGTCTTGCGCTGAAACACAGTAAACATTTTTTGATGATACAGTTGCAAAGATTTGTTTTCTTTTCTGAAATTTGACAAAAAATATTAAATGTCACAAAAGTAAAACACCTTTTTTATTGTATGATTTATGTAACATGCATGATTGCATATGCATTTCAAATGTCTGTCTTAAACATAAGCAGACTGATGTCAACATCACACGAAAACCCACAGACTTCCTTCCTTATGTGTTCTAAGGGTTTCATTGCTGAGAACCATAACCATTACTACCACATATTTACCCTGAAAACTTTCATTGTCATTCTTGCATTGAATCACATTTTGTCCAAAAATGGGAGTCCCAAAGCGCAATAAGAGCATGTAGCCTCGAATCTTGTTTGGATGTGCAAATAAACTGCATTTGAGGGAGCTACTTTGTGTGGACCTTTGATAATGTTTTAATTTCTGTCTGACATAAATCCAGCCCCAGCGGTTTTTGGATGTGCAGGACCTCTATGTTGTCTTAGTCCCCACAATACAAGCATTCACATACACAGACTTGCAGGACTTGTGCCAGGTGTTGTATTAGCAGCAATCATCACAGAGAAAGCCATCTCCTGTTTGCATGCAGCTGGAATGTGAACACTCCTGTGTTAATGAACACTCCTCTTTAGCCTCCGCACAGTAGCAGAACCACTTACCTGTGCCTAAGTTACTGATAGCAGCCGTGGTTATCTGATTAAAAGCAGATTTCCATAATCGACATCGACGAATACATTAATGACTTAAGATCTCTGTTTGAAAGTCTGTGTTAAAAAGCTGCTTCAAATCATTTGGATGTCAATTTTAAAAAAAATGCTTCTTACCTGCTTTATTTGCCTTGCGTTGAGGAGGAATGGGGCTGGAGATAAAGAAGGAAGGAGTGCCTACTGGTGTTGTAAGAACTCTCTCTCTCTCTCGCTCTCTCTCTCTCTGATTGCAACACACACACACTCCTTCCTATGAACATATCTATTAACATCTAAGCAATAGTTTCGATCATAGCAGTCTGCAACCAATGAAAGGTGATTTCCTTTGTGTTCAGACGGCTGTATTACCTGCAAGATTCAACAGAACATTAACCTCAGAGGGTTACATACAAAGTTACTCATTAATCTTCAAATCCGCGGTGCACTTTAATGCTGTTTCTTCTGCTTGTTCTACTGGACAAAATACTCCCACACACTTTTAGCAACATTTTCATCATTCACCTTTTTAGACTTATAGGTATGTTTGCCCTAATTATATGGTAGATGGTGAGAGATCAGACAGAAAATGAGGGAAGAAAGTGAGAATGACATGAAATAATGGTCCTCCTGATGTCCTTGGTCAGTAGATGCACCATGATATCTGTTTTCATTTATGTAAAGCGTTTGTGTTGCTATACACTGTTGTCCATAAAGTTGGAATGATTCAGATTTCAGACACCTCCCTCTTTCTATTCCTATTTAATTTTCACTGTGATATGCTTGGAAGAGAATGAGCAATAAAGGGTTGAGAAGATATACACTTTTAAAACATATTTTATTCTGACTTTATGGGCAACATTGTAGTTAGTGTCTGGGACACTTCGTGATAAACTGTATTTTTTAAACACCCTACACAAATATTAAAGGGGACACAAATAAAAACGAACTTTTCAGTGCTTGTGCGGCAACTGGTGTGAATACCAACCCACAGAATCTGAAATAAGACAACCATATCTGTTTTCTGTGGGATTGTATTATTCAGAAAACATTATATTCAACAAGCTATTGAGATTTGGACTTCCTGTGACTTGGCCTTTTCTGGAGGTGGGCTTAAAGAGACAGGCAATACGTAGCCTTTCAAACACTTATATTCAGTATGACAGTATGAGATTTCTCTTATTCCCTTTGCAGGGCAACAGTTTAGCTCACTGTCAGATGTATTATATAATACCAGAAAATAAAGAAGGACAGAAGGAAATGTCTTCTTCATTATCAAAGTCCCTATCATAGAAGTTACAACACTCCGGATCCAGCAAGGTTTGCTCATGTATCACGGTTTGCTTCAACAACTGACTGCTCTGTTGTGATCTGAAGCCTCTATACTTGTGTTTTTTATAAAGATGCAGAAGTCGACCTTCGCCACTAGGTGTCAGTGCTGCTCATTTGTTTAACTGAGGAAATCTCATTAATAATTGATGTCTTTGGATGTGATTTTAGGATTTGGAGTTTTTCTCAGGAGGCTGTTTTTTGTGACGACTCTAGCTACATGAGCAGCTGTAAATGGCATATACAATGAATTGGACACTTGCTTCAGTTATTGTAAGGGACTTTCATTGTCACATTTGACATGATTGGGACATTTGGTCATATCTAATAATCAATTAATAAAATCCCTGACCAGGAATGGAAGCATTAAACAATTTTATCATTGTATTTTTCACTAATATTGGTGATTGTCACCAAACTTCTGTATTGGAGAAGCCAGAATATCAGAATTTGGTGTACATATGTTCATGTCAATGGTAAAAGTGTTGAGAATTTCAGAATCCTATATTATTACTATCATTAGTGATACATGAATGGGTAATTGCTTTAAAGTTTCAGCTGATAAAGGTTTATATTATTATATTTTCTTTAAACACTAACTGATAGCTTAACCTACAAAATGATGTATTATCTCATTTGTAATTGGTGACTAAAGTTAAAATTGTTTTTGAGTTGAACAAAGTATCAGTAAATTGAAATGACATACATACATACATACATTAATACTTTATACGTTGAATTAGCAAAAAAGTGACATTTAATTGTTATAATAGTCTTAGTATTTGTGGTTAGTTGAATCTGTTGATGTGGATTTTCGTTAAATAAAAAAAAGGAGAAATTAGCTTATTTAAAGGAGTTTTTGGAATTGAATCATAACCAGCTCACCCACACTTTCTTTGAACTTGCTAATTTTAGCTGCAGGGGTTTTAGTCGGGGAAACCAACGTCTTGATTCAAGACTTTCTGATTTGTTACTAGTTCTGCGTACCTGGACTCACATTCAGGTTCAGGTCCGGACTCAAGTCCAGAGGTTCAGGTTCAGGTCCGCACTTATAAGTCCGGACCTGAACGCATGGCTTGTGTCAAGTTGTGTGAAAATTAACTCATAATCAACTCAAATTCAAACTCGTGTATTGTGCTCCCTTCCAACTTGTGTCTAGATTTCTCTACAAAGTACACATGTAAAAAAAACACTTTTTGCCACTTAGTCTACAAATGACTTATGACAGCAACTACAGTGAACTACTACACAGTTCAAACATTTATTTCATTTACCAAACTAAAGTAACCAAACAGTCCCTGAGTCCACTACACTGTAGTGACTGTACAGTCAGAGTGTACTGTACTGTCTGTACACCATGTATTTTCTACAACTCTACATGTGTACACTATACAGTACATACTACATACATAGTGATATACATACATACTGTTAGAAATTAAAATCAATGTTGATATGGCGTAATTTTGAATTAAATACACTATTTAATTTAAATCAGTTTTTTTCTGAAAAAACCGGAAGTTCACACTATTAACTTAATACTTTTATTCTGAAAATTCTTCACTTCCGGTTAGCATTAGCATGTGGCGAAATGCTACGTTTTCAAACCGTGAATCGAAGGTGAAATGACATGTGATGTTGTACACTGAGCACACTGGGATTAGCACTCATTTATTGACGCTGAATAACGTTTATCAGGGAATGTTTAAATAACCACAGACACCAGAATATACGTAAGTGCTAGTTTTTTTGCGAGTCCAAGTACCGGTTCCCGACGTTCCGGTTTTAACCGGACTTGAACCGAAACTTTTTACAAGTCAAGTACCGGTTCGTTGTACCGGTACGCAGCACTATTTGTTACTCACAGTGTTTCTCAGTCATTTCATTCTGTTAGGAGTGAACATAATCGATACTTTTAGTCTGAAACAGTTGTTAGGAATGATGTTTATAATAAACTACATATCTCCGACACATCTTCGTCACACTTTGAGGACACGCACAAAGCACAAAGAACGGAAACGCTATCAGATCACATCAGCTGTGGGTCTGCCCACGTGGAAACACTGAGCTCAGCTCAGAGAACTCTTTTGTTGTAACTCGATACAACACATAAGATATGTTTGCTCTAAAGGACAAGCATTCACACTTTCATTTCTGGTTTCCACAATAGTAGCTTAACAAAGAATTGAAAGTACACAAGGTTATGATTGGTGATAAAAGTATTTCTGACTACTTTTGCCCTTTCACCTGAATTTCACAGGAAGATTAGCATCTGATTTTCCCTTAACATTAAAATATGATGTCAGTTCCTCTTTGAGTAGACAGGAACACTATAACTGTCCCTCAACATTTAAATTGATAAATGTGTTGATAAAGTATCTTCCTCCATAAATGTGTAATCTATAAGAAAGAGACAGAAAGCCAGACAGAAGAAGTGACTATTGTGTCTGAAGTCTCCCCAGCTGGCATATTACACCTTGTGAATTTCCATTTCACCTAAGGGAGGGTCCCTGCTGCCTCTGTGTTTCTTCCCCCACCTCCTCATGTTCTTTCAACATTTCCCTTCAAATTCAACACAGTCAATTTGTATTTTCTAATATGTCACCTCTTTTACAGCCATGCACGTATATACAGTGGAGGAAATAAGTATTTGATCCCATATATAACATATATAACCGGTCTGTCGGAGCCAGCATTCTTGTTGGTTGCATGAGGATCAAATACTTATTTCCCACAGTTAAATGCAAATAGATTTGTATCTTTTATATAACGTCAATTTCTGGATTTTATCTTTGATATTCTTACTCTCTCTGTTTTAATAAACCTACCATTAAAATGATAGACTGTTCATTTATTTGTAAGTGGGTAAACTTACAAAATCTGCAGGGGATCAAATACTTATTTCCTCCACTGTATATACATGGCTCGTCACCTTAGTGAGTTTTTAGAAATGAGCTATGCAGAAAGAGTCAGAATCAGAAAGTGCTATAAGAGCAGAATGACAGGGAGGGACATTCAGAATAGATGGGGAGGCCCCTTTTTGTCAAAAAGAGCAATATGACATGGTTACTAGGTCACAACAGGCAAACACTACGGCCAGTGAGATTCTGGGCCGTTTTATGGGTGACATCTGAGAAACGTAACCATGATACTGTGCTAGATCAGTCATTTCGTGCAAGAGGGTCTCAAAATCCCCACTGACACTCCTATAACTGTCAAACAGAATTCCAGTTCATCTCACGACCCTGCGCAGTCAGAAGTGATTGTACACGTGGCTTGATACAAAATGGATGTTGTGTAATAACTGTGAGGAAAGATGTATATAAGATAAAGTATGTGATACACTTTTTAGTGTATATTTTTTACGAAATGATCACAGATAGAAAATCTGTTAAAAAGTTCAATATGCTCCATAGACATCCGGTACACACTACTTTTACTTTTCTTTAAATGCAGCATCGAATTGTCATTAGTTTCTTTCAGTGCCATATCCCAACTTTCTGGAAGAGTTAAATGTGGTACAGTATCCAGGGTCCCAGATGTTAAAATTAAGATTTTTTTTGGTGATCCCTTGATTTTGTTATCCAGTGCCACCAGCAGGTCTACATTTGTTCTCTCATCCATTGAAAGGTTTTAATATCTCTCTGATTGTGTGACCCAAACGTTTAAGAGAAGAAATTCATGGTTCCCAGATGATGTATCGTTATCTCTATCTCTACAAAGTAATTATACTTCTTCTTTACCATCAGCTTATTTTATCCTGGCAGTGAATAGGAGGACTCTTTAAATCCTCTTTTAGTAATTTCAATGGCGTTACTGCTGCTTTTCCTTCTACTAGCCTACTACTAAGCGTCTACTACTACTTTGGCGGTATAACACTTTAGGTAGGCTAATGCGGTTCAGCTTCCAACTCTGCCAGTTTTACATTTCATCTGCTTTTCAATGCCATGCAGTTCATTTAGCTGTAACATTTAAAATGTTTAGCATTTACATTTCTGCGTATTGAGTAATATTTGCCATTTATTTCAGCTGTAAGCATCCACACACTTTCTCTACAGGAAATGCATTTTCTAGGTCGCAAATGTTAGAATGCTAAACAAAGATGGTGAACACAATAAACCATATATCCCCTAAACACCAGCATGTTAGCAATGTTGTTTGTGATCATGATGTCAAGGTGATGGTAGCATCCTTCATCCATAAATAAGTACTTGGTAGCAGAATTAAAGTTAAATGCTTATATCTTTTTTTTGTAATATATATATAAAGTGTGTTCACGAAAAAAAAGTGAATAATAAAAGTAACCTACACTTAAACCAGACCAATGCAAAAAGGAGTTGCTCAGAGCTGGACATTCTTTTAAATACGTTGTGGGTGGGGTTCTAACTACTAAAACTATAATATCTTATGACAATTAGAAAAGAAGACATACTGTATAGTATAGGGACTCAACTTCAATCTTAGATCTTAAGAGAAAATAAGGAAATTTGAATAGTTTTTTAAGTCCCTTTATCAACCCATTCATATTGTGGCAGTATGAAATGTGAGTGGAGCCAATGTGGTTTGGCTCCACAGGCGGAGCTCACACTATTTATAAAGTACGTTTGTTAACATCTGATTAATCAAATGTTTAACTTTTATATCTGTTTCATCTCAGAATATGACATTAAAAATCATTCCATATATGTTTTAAAAGGTTCTAGTTTTACACATGTTGCTTAAAAGCAGCAACACATTTCATTTAATAATCATACAATTAAACTACCATCCCCCTTTGATATTACTGTAAATAACCTGTTTGAATCCAATAAATGATTATGTGGGAAGCATTTACATATAAATGAAATGTGTTCTTGATTTGCACTTTAATAGTCATTATGTTGGAGGGGAATTTCACATGAGTCACCTGCGTAGTGTATAAAGACGTGCAGACCCGCATTCGGCTTACTGCTCAACGGGAGACAGAGAGACACACGGAAACTAGTGGAGCGTAAACAGAAGAGAGAGAGGCGCCCAGCAGAGAAGAAGGAGAGAGACACCAGTTGCCAAAAGAGGAAGTGAAGACAGGTCAGTAACTACCTTACTACCATTACAACACACACACACACACACACACACACACACACACACACACACACACACAGAAAAAAATCAATTTCCTTACATTCTCTCAGCTCAGATAAGCATCTTGATACTCAACCAGAGTCACAAACAACATAACCTGTTACATCCTGTTATACCTCACAATGTCTCTGAAGAGAGATAATAGTACAAACTTTACTGATAGTTTGCAGCCTCACAAACAGGACTGTTTCAGTCTTTAAAGACTCGTCCAGGTACCTGGTTTAAAGTGTTTCATCTCACAGACACTGGAGAGGGTCACACGCATATTTTACAGACATTTAGAAAATGTATTTTGATTTTCTAATCACAAACTAGTTGCCAAACAAACGGACCAGTCTAAATGACAGGGGATGGTCATACTTAAAGTATGTCTTATCAAACTAGAACAAATGAAGTTGTTTTAGGTTAAATATTGAGAGGGTAGTGGGAGAATTAGTGCTGATTTGTTTTCCTCATTAATGTAGCAATTGCAATCCTACATTTAAAATATCCTTAATCCTAAATTTAAAAAAATGTTTTTAGTTAATTAAATGAAAGCCTACTTACTTTTAATTCACTCTAAAGTATATTAATGTTGCCAATATATAGCCATAACGTCACAAGAATGTCCATTTATTGACATAGATGGAAGGAGTGCTCAAATATTTCAATTAATTAAAGAAATAGTCTCTTTCAAGTACAGTCTAAAACGTAACTAGGTCACTGAGTCAATTTTAGATGAACATTTTTAATATTATTTAAAAAAATGTATTGATGGTTAAATGTATAAATCAATAATGTTGCAGCTTATATGCAGCTTTTTTATCATGTAAAAAGTAGCAGAAATTAAAAGTACCTGAACATTCTACATAAGTACAGCAAGTCATATTTCACCTCTGGATGGTGCCATGTGTAGTGAGTACTTATGAATGAACCACACAGATGACCTGTGATCAGTGTGCCTCTGTCCCCCTCTGCAGGACGTCCTCAGCAGCCTGATCACCCACTGGGAGGTGAGCATGTGGATGAAGAATCTAGTCCCATGGTGAGGTTAATGCTAATCGTGATAGGGGTTGTTTATTACCAGACACCTAACATGTTAGCATTAGCTTCACTCTGGGAGATCTCACATTAAAACTGAGCAGAAGGAGCAACATCCGGGAGTATGTAAGAAGTCATTAAACTCAATGATGCAAAAACAGGCACAACGCATGGACCAACACTCAATAGAATATCCATCTCTGAAGATGTCGAGATACTAAGTTCTTAGCTTTGATTATTATTTGGTGCAACACATATTAGAGATCAACATGGTTTAAAAAGTACAAACATTCTGTTGGTACAGCAGTTACTTGTGACTTGTTACAGGGACTTATTTAACTTTAACATGTGCAGATTGACTTCTTCCTGCATCCTTTATTATTTAGTTTAGTGTGTATTTCAAGTTTACAGCATAACTCTGCTCATTTCAAATATAAAAAGGGGTCCAATTAAGGAAATTGAAAGCAGCCAGCATGGTGAAACACATGTGTGCCATGAGCTCATGAAGAGAGAAAGAGGGTAAGCTCACACTCATTGACACAATCCCAACCATGTGCTTTAAATCCTTGCTGTTGAATGTAAATGAAAGATTAAGTAAGATAAGATAAGAGATAAGATAAGACTTTATTTATCCCGAAGGAAATTGTTGTGCCAGAGTAACAAAATACAATAAACACAATAAATACAGCAGCACAACAGAAACACTGTACACTAAAGTGCTTCTTTTGTGGGACGATCCTCATGTTGACAGAGATCAAACATAACAATTAACACGTGACAGTAACATCACTGCCACAAGTTTGTTTAAACATACAAATCTTGTACTTTGTATTTATGAAATATGGCATTCACAATATGATATTAAACATGTTGTTTTTAGAGTTGAAGAGGATTTTTATAGCCACTTTTAACTCAGCAGATTGTGATCGATCATTGTCCCTTTCTTTTGTGTGTAATTGACCTTTTTGTGAAAAATGTGCTCCACCAGAGATAACTGTATATAAGCCATTATAAACTAATCAAAATAAACTCATAGCAAACCCAATAATGGTTTGAACTTTAAAAACATTTACTTTTCAAACCAGAGAATATGCTGAGACTTGGTTCTTAATAATTCACCTTTGTCATATTGTGTTTATTTTACAGTATGCTTGTTGCTTTTTCTGAAGCAAGTAAAATCATAAATAAATCAATTCAAAGACAAACATCTGCATTTTTTCCTTTTCTGATATGTATAATTTTGTGTTTGCATCATAAATACATTTTGCATCCAGTTTCTCTTGAAGTCCATGTCAAAAGCAAGAAATAGACCATTAAATTATAAATAAGAAAGATGTAGGCGGCACTTTGAACCCCCATCCAGCCGAGTCGCAGACATTTCTGCAGTTCAGCCGTCATTTGTGCTGCGTTAGTCTTGTGACAGAAGCCCTATGTAATCTTTTAAACCACTTTATCATTAGTTCAGAGTCTCTGAAAATGAGAGGATTACAGCCTTGGCTCCCTAAATGCAGAATATACAGGATGTTAAAGAAAATCCCCCCATACTGACACATCCATCCAAAGACTATTTTAAAATGCATCCATTGAATAACAATTCAATATTGAGCTCAGGATACAGTGGAGGATTTTTAAACTGTTCTTTAATGAAGGAGTTAACTTAATGTTAAGAAGTAAACGTGTCCCCTAAGGTCTGTGCATGCTGGGCACAGTATGGTTCATTTAAGATGAACTCTGAGTCGATCTGGTTTTTCAGTTTGTCACCACATCAACAGGGCAGACCACAGACATGTATCCCAACTTATGTTGCAGGTCAAGCAATGTAGCTACAGACAAAACATGTATTATTAAATTAAACTCTGATTAAATGATCATGAGAATATAATCCAAATAAACACAAACAACATACTGTACAAAAAATCATAGTTTTTCTAACTAATTATTCCCTCATAAGATCTTAGGCAACTTGTATGATTAATTTGAATGAAATGCCTTTACATGTACAAACAAATTTGATAAAACAAGATACATTTAATAACCTTTATCATAATTATCAGCTCACAGAGATGGATAGTATATATTCAAACGTGACAAAAATAATGTTTTTGGGAAAGTGGAGTTGGAGTAAAATAGTTTTACAGTGTGAATAGATGTTTCTTTCAATCATTTACTTTACAAGGCGTTGAGAGAATACACCCAACCTCCTCTACAATGAACACCATATAAATACAGCCTCTCATGCCCTCGGTATTTAGCTCAGTGTCTGCATGTGAACACAAACTGTGCCAACCAGCCAGTGTATGGGCGGACCGGTCAGTCAGCTGATGACTGAAGTACTCCTCACAATCTCTGTCCTCAATACATGGATTTCGTCACACGGATGATTTTATAGGCAATAACGCACAATGTGGAAAATCTCATACAAGTGCAGGAGGAAGACTCGCCGCTGTGTGGGATTTCACTCAGGAATGCGTCCTGTGTGCGCACCTGGAGCCGCCGGAGACATGCAGAGTCACCACGTTTTCTCCCGTTTCCACTCTGCTTTATGATACGGAGCCGCTGTTATCCTGGGATGGGGAGACTCGCATGGAGCTGCTGTGCCGCGGCGCTGCTGGCCATCATTAGCTCATGTCGGGCAGTCACTCTGGAGTCCATCCAGTGGAGCAGCTCCAATGCAAAGTAAGTGATGGAGCAGCTTCACACAACTTTCTGCTGCTGCTTTGTCGGCGTAGTGGGACCTCATTGATGGAGTAAATCACGACACCACAGTTTGGACGTTTCATTTGAATGGCTGTAGTGTTAAAACGATTAGTTCATTCATTACAGAATCCTTTGTTCATTGATTCATTGTTTAAATTAATTGATACATCAATGCCAATAGGGCTGCAATCAACATTTATTTTCATCATGTGTATTTTGTCAATGTTCTCAATGTCCTGAAATCCAGTGTAAGATGTTGCCTTCAACTAATTGACTGAAAAAACTCAACAATAAATATACATTTGACTGTCACATGAAAAAAAGATGCGATGTTGAGGCTTCATGACTTAAGGATTAATCAACTATCAACATAGTTGAAGATACATCTTATGTCACTCAATTATTCAACTAAATGTGCATCTTTTAAATGTAATATTTTTGGGGTTTTGGCCAGTTCTTCCAACAAAATCTTTGAATATGTCCCCTTTGGACCTTTTTCTTTTTAAACTTGTGATGGCCATATTTTATTCCTTTATCAATTGATCTGATACAAAGGCTTTAGTGTCTGAGCATAAAGTATCTTATCTTATGTTGCAGTTGATTAAAAAAATGTTGTTGAATGCAACAGAGATGCTTCACTTCATCTTTTCACCCACTTATCTCGCACACAGATTTATTCCAGGTCAGGGTCTGGTCCTGTATCCTCAGATCGGGGACAAGATGGATATCGTGTGTCCCCGGGCAGATGCTTCCTCCGGGGGGGAAGAGGAGTTTTACCGAGTGTACCTTGTCTCCAGAAGTCAGATAGAGAGCTGCACCATCCACAAGACGGACACGCCCCTGCTGAACTGTGACAAACCTCACCAGGATGTAAAGTTCACCTTCAAGTTTCAGGAGTTCAGCCCCAACCTGTGGGGCCTGGAGTTCCTGAAGGGGAAGGACTACTACATCACCTGTGAGTCCCATGTGAACACTTAGAAATCAGTAACACAGAGCCACAAGCTGCTGGTTCCTACAGGTGGAATTGAATCAATGCTAACAACTGTTTCTTTTTTCTGGTGAAATAGAAAAGGAAGCTGTCCTCCTATGGGCCCCAACTCAGTTTGTCAGCTTGCGTGAGAGTCACAAAAACGTGGCCTCGTTATTGGCCCGCTGTCGGTTAAACCAGCATCTTAGTGGCAAGTGATGCATGAGATAGAGAGCAAGTCTGACCATGTAGCCTCATCCTCCTCGCCACGATCTGACAGCACACTTCGCTCTGGCAGGCCAGTGTGATTCCAAGGGCTTACATGCCCCAAATCACACAAGGCTTTTACAGCATCAGGCAGATTTGATGGGAGCTTTCATGGCAACGTGGCTTGTAGACTGTGAGATGTTGTTATCTGACCTAAATGCTGCTAACAAGTCTGTGTGTGTGTGTGTGTGTGTGTGTGTGTGTGTGTGTGTGTGTGTGTGTGTGTGTGTGTGTGTGTGTGTGTGTGTGTGTGTGTGTGTGTGTGTGTGTGTGTGTGTGTGTGTGTGTGTGTGTGTGTGTGTGTGTGTGTGTGTGTGTGTGTGTGTGTGTGTGTGGGTGGGTGGGGGGATGTGACAGGGTGAACTAGAGTTCTTAGTGTGTGTGTTTTTGTATATGCATTTATTTGGTCATTTCTATGTTGTTTTAAAAAAAAAAAACACATTTATTCTCTTTGTCAAGCAGACATTTTGCATTTACAGCCGAGACGTTAAGTCAGTTTAACATGAATATTTATGTGCAACTATTTGTATAATCAGTTCTTAACGTCATTGGGAGATGCTGCATCTGTTCTGGTTCTAGCTTCTTAAATATGAGGAGTTGCTGCTTTTGCTTCTCATAAGTGAAACCAAATATATTTTATTTAAGGACTGTTGATCAGACTCCGCAGACAATATGAAAACTTCTCTTTGGGCTCTTGGGATTTTCTGACAATATATAAAACAGTCAATCAATAATTAACATTTGGTGCAGCCCTAGCACAGGATCGATTGTTTGGTTGTTTATACGCTTGTGATTATCTATACACTGCAAGTAACATCTGCATTCTCTTGCCTATGATGCAACATTCAGCAACTGGCTCAAATGTCTGCAAAGATCATAATGGGACCTCGCATTTCTTAAATATCTAGAATTATGTAAATAAAATGTTAATGTTCTTCTCTCTGTATGTCAGCCACCTCTGCAGGGTCTCTGCAGGGACTGGATAACACTAATGGAGGGGTGTGTAAAACCAAATCCATGAAGCTGGTGCTGAGGGTTGGCCAAAGTAAGTGCTTTGTGTGTGTGTGTGTGTGTGTGTGTGTGTGTGTGTGTGTGTGTGTGTGTGTGTGTGTGTGTGTGTCACCTTGTGTGTCACCATGTGTGTAAATCTGTGTTTGCAAATAAAAAAATAACCACAGCTATCTGACTAACAAAGTTAAAGTAGTGATGGCAATAGTTTTATTCTGGTTATGTTTAAAGCAAATAGTATTACCACCTCGCTGGTGTTATTAAGTGGTCAGATAGTCTTGATGATCTATTCATTCTCTCACAGAGAGATTGCGTGAATCATCTCAAAATCCCTAATTCAAAGCGCTGGCAGCTTAAGGCTTCAGTATTATCCCTCATGCAGTCATTCAGACTGTGGCGTTCAATAATCTTTCTTTCCCCTGTATTAACATCAGAATAGCCAGTGGGCCGTATCATTCTTGTGCTCTTATAACATACATTAACATTTAATAAAGCAGATAATGGAACATATTAACTGAGGTCACTATAAATGCCCTGCGTTTAAATCTCTCTGATACATATTATGGATACAGAAACCTAGCGTTTTTAAATTTGTTTAACTGCATGTCATTACAAATCTTAAGGAGGCTTAATTTATTTAGCTGCACAAAATCAGAGTTAAACTAATTCTGTGTGTTGCTAAAAACTTTAAAAGCTGAATCTCTTAAAGCTCCAACATCCAATCTTTGACCTCAGAAATTTGAAGTATTATTCAAATAAATGATTCAAGGATTTGAGTGGAAAAATAAACATTTAGTGTGTTTCTTAACTGATCCTAACTGCAAATATGGGCCTTTTTTCTTGCTGTACAGAATGCTACTGATGTAAATACACCTTTTAACAGCAACAGAAAAATTAATCACTCAGATTTAGATTTAATCTTTTTGTTAATCTGTACAGAGTTTCTGCAGTTTAAGGTCTTGTGTTTAGATTAATTTGATGTCACTACCCTTCTGTTTGGATTTGGATTTATGGGTTGTGCATTTTCAAACCTGAAAAAAGGATATGTGAGGAAACATTTTATTAAAGCCAGTTTTGAATTAGTGCTACATACAGAAATGTTGATTCATGTGTGTTGTCCTCATAAAATATACATCTAATCCTGAATTAATAGAGAGAATTTCAAATGTTATTTTATTTAGGTCACTGAGAGGCCAAAGTATGTGCGTCTACTGCGGTACTTTTCATTTGGGAAACTGCTCAGTGTGGACACTTTGCACATACAAGAATATCTGAATCTATGATGTCAAATGAATTCCTACAGTCCTTCTTTTTTACGTGAAGTGTTGTTTGTATCTCTTGTCTGCAGGCATCATGTTTTCCGCCATATAATTCTTAACACTTATGTCATATTGTACTTATAAAGAAGAGAGTCTTTTGAGAGACTTACAAAATAGTTTTTCTAGAATTATCCAGAACTTCACTTAAGTAAAAGTAGCAATAAGCAATTTAAAATTCTCAATTAGAAGTCAAAAAATCCTGCATGAGTTCTGTACAATTACAGAAGTATGATCAACATTTTTTATTAATATTCTATTGCTAATAACGATTCTTCAGTGTGTAAGCAGCATTTATGTTGGAGCGGGTTGAGGGGGGGCTGATTTTAACTTTTTAAACACAGATTCCTACACTCAAAACTATTTATCCGTTGACTTAAATAAAATGTATTATGTAAACAGATAACACATAATTGTATTAGGTTAGTTGATAGCAATAGGTTCAACTTAATACTATTGCTTTCAACTAACCTAATACAATGGTGTGGAACCTGTTGACATAATACATTTAATTGAAGTTGCTGATCGTGTTTACCAATACTTTTTTTAGACTTTGCACACTTTGATTGCTTTCTTTTGTGAAATGTTCAATTGCTTCTCCTTTTGTTGGCCTTGAATGGTATGACAGGGTATATGTCTTTTTGGTTTAACTTCTACATGTCAACATCTGAATAGTGACAAAGAGCCCAACTACAGTATAAACCCTTTTTGAAAGGGTTTTGCCAAAAAAGCTGGAAACAGCTGTTTGAATCCAACAATGTGTATTTTATAAGCTTATCTTCATTTTTTAAAAGGTAATTAACAGTTGTCAGAAACATGTAGAGGAGAACAAAGTATGATTTTTTACTGAAATACAGATAAATATAAAACAATACTGGACATGGTTAGCTCGGTAAATGTTTTTTAAGCTGTCATTTGATCTTATTTTCTATAGAGCTACAGAACATTATTCAACACCGTTTAGATTTTTGATTCCCAAAGTTCCTTTTGGAAAAACCCCAGTGAATATGAAGACACAAATGTGTAGGTGGAGAAAGTGAAAGCATTTTTTTTTTGTTAATGGTAGTTTTTCCAGGCAAGAAACAAAGAGTTTTGTGACTCAGAACAAAACATTTATTTTGTTCAATAAGGTTACTGACGCATCTTTACCTGAATGACCTTTCAGAGTAATATAATCAGAAAACCAGGCAGAACAACCTCTTCTATGACTCTGACACCATCACAGATTATGATTCAACAGACTTCATTATAAAGAAACATTTTGACATGACACATTCCTTCCTACATACCGCCATATGGGGAAAGTTAGGAGAAGTGATCAATGGCACAACAAGCTATATGTTGTGATTCTATTTCCAACTGACTTGTTTTATTTTCCAGGCTCTTCAGATCCACCTTCAACCCTCCAGGAGTCCCCCACCAGATTCCCACCCACACGTCCAAAGTCCAAGAACCCCTCTGCAATAGACAAGGATATAAAAAGCACAAATGGTATGAAATCAAGACAAAAATATTACCTTAAAATAAGTATACGTGTGTAACATTTCAAAACATAATGATCTTTAAGAGCTTTACAATTATTAGACTATTATTATATTTTGGCAGTTTTAGCCAAATAAATCAAGTTTGACTGAAACAACATCCCAGATATTGTATATTTCTTGTTAGTAGGAACTTGTATGTAAGGTAAGAGTATATAACATTGTTAGCTATTTCATTAGACAATAAGGGACAGTCTTATTGTTTCCACACTCCAACTTGTACCCAAACCTCCCCTAATCATGACTCTTTGGTCTCTAGAGAAAGTTAACAGGCTAAGGATTAGCACAGGGAGACTTTATGGTTATCTTTACGGTTCTCTCTCAATGACAGGAGGCCAGTCACAGGCAGCAGCCATGCGAAGGTCAGATGGATGCAGGGGAGTTTAAGGATTTGAGGACATCTGTTGGGGGGAATGTGAACTTTTTTCTTTTTGTAGGGCTTTTCATGCAGTACCTTTAAGTTCAAAGTAAAAAAAGATTAACATCGTGAGATAATTTATTCGCATTGATAATCCGAAAAAATGGCCTCCATAAATCGACTATCACTGGATTAAAGCATATTCTCTGATGCTTTTCATGTTAACACATTATGATCATGATTCTCCAGGGCATTAACTGAGAGAAAATGTTTTCAATCATTGTGCCGGTTACCCAAGTTCACCCTCAGTTTCTCCTTCATTTCTTTTTCGGTGTCTCCTCTTTCTCTCCCAACAGGACCAACAGGACCAACAGACCTCAGCTCGGGGCCACCACTGCTAATGTGGGTCATCTTTGGAGGTGTGATCCTCCTTCTCGTCATCATCATTTTGGTGGTGGTGCTCTGGAGGCGCCGGAGCCGTCAGCGTGACCGCGTGCCAGACAGCCATCAGTCTGCCTCCGTGTCCCTCAACACTTTGTCTGTGGCTAAGCGGGACAGCATCAGCAGCGAGAACAACGGCTCGGACCCCAGCGACGTGGTCTTCCCTCTGCGGGCGTCTGAAAGCATGATCTGTCGGCATTATGAGCGTGCGAGTGGGGACTATGGGCCCCCTGTGTACATAGTTCAGGAGATCATGCCCCAGACTCCCACCAACATGTACTACAAGGTCTGATGTTTGCTGCTCTAATGCCAGACTCTGACTGATGTTCCTAAACTATCTGGGACACAAAGCATTTCTATTGCTTTAGATTTAAATTGTGTTGCACAGTAGGTGTGAAGAAAAGTCACATGGGGATCATCCATACATCAGATAGCATTACTGCACTGCACATACTTTTTCTTTTGTGAAGAGAGACAATCAGAGTCAAAGTGTTGCGTCTCACACATCATCCAGCAAACGCCACAGGTAGGATGTAACTTAATAGCCCACTGTACAATTTGGAGGTAAAATTGTAATCTTTACAGGGGGAAATATTGTGCTTTTCACCTTACTACATATACACGGCAGATTTTACACACAAAAAAGAGAGATCATAAACTATTGCATCTTCATTTATTCAACTACCCATCAGTATGCTTTATTTAAGTTCCACTTTGGCCAAACACAAGGTAACAATATATTGGAAATAATATATATAGTAACATTCTCATATTACTTTTGATCCGTTGAGTACATTTAGCTGATAAAATGTACGTACAAAACATATGAAAAATAAATAAAAATGAGGCCTTGTAAGAAATTAATCTACCTAATATTTATACAATTTGAGCAAATTATTATTCAATTATTTGGTTAGTTTAAGTTGCCGCTAGCAGGAGATACAGAAGTATGCGCTGTCCAACCACCGGGCTACTGAGCAACTTCTTCCCTCCGTCTTTGAGACTCAGCAACTCATCCTTTTTTTACAAACAAAATAATAAATAAAATGTTGTTCTTATGTCAAATTAAAGGATAACAACTGCATTCCTTTGTGCAACCCTGAGTTGTCAAATGACCGTAAATTAACTTTGAAATTAGTCAGTGACTGTTGGATAACTGATCATCTGTTGATGTCATGGTTTAAGATGTTCAAATGTGATGCTTTGCTGCTTTTCTTTGTCTTAAATGAAAGAAACATTTTCATGTCGGAACTGTTGGTTAAACAAGACAAGACGTTTGAAGATAACACTTAAAACACTGGGTTATTGTAATCTTTTCTCACAATTTTCTTACAAACCAACATTTAAATGGATTAGATCAAATAACAAGTAGGTCATCCAAAATGAAAACAACAGTTTTTCACTCATGAAAACTCATTTCTCTCTACATTGAACTCTTTCCTTTTTTATTTTAATACGAAATTACGTTTTCCTGATACATTTTCTTTCAAATGCTGAACAATAACTTGTGAATGAGTATTTTTTTAAAGTGGTGACATTTTTATTTAAGTGAAACATCTGAGGACCTCCTCCACAGTATAATTGTTTATGTTTTTATTATTCAAGATCAATGATTTTATCCCTCACTGTCACTGCACATGGCAGCTGCAATTAAACATATGCTTTTTATTTAATTATATTGGTACATTTGTAAATGGATTGGTCGTGCACTTTGTTCTAAATGCTGTTGGATGATCAATCTCTCTTTTCCGGGCCTTATGTTTGAATATAAACCTGTTTAGCTGTGTTCAATAAACAGCCAGGGGGCCATGTTAAAAAAAAATGTAATTACTCAAAATCGGATGTTATTATTTTTTACTTGTTAAAGGTGTAAAAGTACAAAAGAAACCTCCACAACAACTTAGTAGCCTCTTGTTCAGTGTCTGCTTTCGCTTTAAATGTTTTACAACTAACAAGAGCAACAGCATAGTGATGAACATTTACAGCAGGAGAGTTATGGAGAATTCAATTTGAACTAAAGACTGCGAATAACTCACAGCTTTTCTTGGACTAACCAAGTGACTGAGCGTCACAGTGCGTGATGACTTCATGCACAGCAACTTTATTTGTAAAAAGTGAGTGTAAAGACCTTCATAGTCCCATACAGCAATTGGAACCACTGCATTATGTTTAACAGACTTTTAGACATTTTCATCGCCACATGTTGGTTAATTTATTTTCAACTCAAAACCGCTCTCTGAATAATTTGGGTGGGTAGACGCTGCTCAGAGGAGCATGTCTCATCATAACTTAATGGTGCTCATGGGAAAGTGACTGTCATTCTGAAGTGAACAGCACCGTGGTGAGTTTTTTGCAATGTCTTATTAGGTTGAATGAGCAAAAAAGACACAAGATCCAAAAACACATTTAAGCATAAATATCTCTGATTGTTTTGTACTAAACCCTTTTCTCATGTAGAATTAGAAGTGGCATCTTTGCAGTTCAACACGTGTATAATCTGCAAACTGTCAAGCGATCTGGAAAAGTAATGCAATTCCTTTTTATATACATGTTTATAACTCTCAGCATTTCAATTTCTCATTGTGTCTCCTGTGGTTCTGTGAACGGCATCCCTAGGTAAACATGTTTCATGCTCCTTCAGCCACATCATGCCACAGATTTTCAACCTGTCAGCTTCCATGAGCTTCCTCTCCACCGGGGACACTGTTGCCTCAGAAAGCAAGACTGAAGGATCTCCAGGACATGCGCTTTGTGCATCAAACAAGGAGACTGCTCATCTAACATTAAACAGAACATTAAAGCTATTTTTGTTCTTTGAAAGTCTACTGAAGGAGAACATTGTAAGGTAAGTAAACACATGTCTGTAAAACAGGCAATTCAAAGGGCTGTAGACAAAAGAGCTAAAGCTCTGAGACAAAAGGCAAAAGATCAAACCATGAAAAAGAATAAAACATGTAAAAAATACCAGCAAAAGTGCATTGTAAGGAAATTGTTGATTATTTGGCCCGTGATCTGCAGCTCTTGATAATAGACTTCGTAATGAAGAACTGCACGTCTGACATGGATAGTGTCATTCTTACCCTGTAGCAAAAAGCTATTTTCCCTCAGGCAAGTGATGTGTTTAAAATATCTGAATAAGAAAATGTGTCAAAGATAACTTCAGAACCGCTTTCTATAATTGGCTTCCTTAATAGACTAGCGGGTCTTGTCTAATTTAAACCATGAGGTGTTGAATAGGGAACACATCCTGGCTATCCAATGATAAATGAAAATTAGATTTCCAGAATTGTAATTGTTGAATGTTTTACTAAAACATATCTCTTTGGCTGACAAAACATGTCATTTAAAGACAGCTGGACTTTGACAAACAAGGATGGATATTTGTCATCATTTTCTGACATTTTATAGTCCAAATGTTTTATTGATCAATTGAGATAATAATTGCTGCCTCGCTGCTATTGTGCAAAAACAATGCAACACAAATGAGCTTCTGACTGTGAAACATTACAGAGCATGTTCGTTGTGTGTGTGCATGTGTGTGTGTCCTCCCACCCCCTCGCCTCAAGTGATCCTTGCTCTTGTGAGATGTTTTTGTCCTATGGAGTTTCACAGCTGAATAGGCCGTGGTTGGGCGAGGTGAATTCAGTTGACCCCGGGGTCAAACAGAGACAATGGTGGTCAGGCTTCCTTAGGAAGAACAAAACAGGGACCCCCAGGCTCATGGCCCCTGTAGTGGGAGGGGCTTGGATCCAGCAGGCCATTTTGAAGAAAGAGGCAAAAGTGGTGCTGCATGATGCATCCGACGGGATGTTTTGGATTTGAAATAAAGGCCTGAATATCACAGATGCTGCCAGCTTGGTGTTTTAAGATACACATTTTACCTTGGAAGTCTTCTGGAGAAATATATGAATTTAATGCATTTGTTGCTATTCGTCCCTCACAGCATTTCCTTATTCTTTAAACAGCTATATAAAAAGTCTTCTACATGCTTTTGCAACTGATATACCTAAGTCTTTGTGCAGAGAGCATAAGAGGAGGGGGAGGTCTTATAAGGAGAGCTGCAAGCTTTTATCTGACCCCATGGGACGAGGAGAAGTCTGCAGCCTCCCTGCGTCCACCCACCCCCCACCTCACTTCCATATGCAGAGGAACTGGCCCCACCGCTGCTTTTGTATGGGGGGTTGTGGGTCATGAGTGAGCGCTCCTACTCCCACCGTGTGCCCAGAGATGTTGGAGAAGAAGAACAGATATTGTGGTATCAGGTTTAAGTTTCATATGTTGGTCAGTTGTGACAACCAAGAGTAATTTACAGCAACATGCAGAAAATAGATTTTACAGTTAAATAACAAGATTTTTCAGCAGCTGCGGAAACACGCGGAACATTCTTTGAAACTCAATAAGTTGCATAAAGCCGACTCTTTCTTTAAAAACAGAAGCTGGGATGGGGAAGTTGTGGTTAGTGCTTCCTCTCTACAGTTGAAAACCATTCATGACTTTACAGTAGTTAGTTTGCTAGTTCCCTCTGCTGGCCACTATCGTACTGTATCACCCTACTACAGTATCAAAGTGGTGATTTACAGGATTCAACACATGATAATAATAATAATAATAATAATAATAATAATATAAACTAACTAACGGAAAGCAGAAGATGGTTTGACTCTTAAACAGCACATCTGGACAATAGCAATACCCCGCTTTTCATCAGAAACAGGTTCATTTGCCTTGGTGTATATGTTGAATACAAAAACACAGTCAAAGAAGATATATAGTAAGAAAAGGACCAACAAAATTAAACTATTATAAAAAACTATTTTAAGAAAACTATTATAACATTAAAATATAGCAATATTTACATGAGATAGAGATCAAATATAGATATACCCGTACAAATTAAATTAAAATAGAATTATAAAAAAAGAACTCAGACCTCCATCTAATTACCCAAAGGTTGCATTTGTGAATTTAGAAGAGATCATCCCTTGTTTCTTTGTTATTAAACTCCAAAGAAAATGGACCGGAGTAATCTTGAAAAACACTTGTTTAATCATTTATGCAGTGAAGTTGCATATTTGTGGTCTAAACAAAACAACCTAATTGGAAGGATTGGTTGTACTTGCTCTTAAAGCTGCAGGGGACGTATATAGAGTGGTTTTAAAAGTATTCAAAACCTTTAATAAACTTTAAAAGAACCATGACAACAATTTAGAAAATGTAAATGATTCTGTTTTGTATTTTATACGGTTTCTTTAGGGCAGCTTCATTTAAAAAGTATGTGTTGTTGGACAAATGATGTAAGCAAAATGTGACAATGTTTTCCTCTGAAATGAAGTAGCATAAAAAGGATATACTTGAGAAAATGAAAAAGAGCTTACCAGTCTGAGAGTGGCAAACAAATACATGTGAATGAAGTGGCTATTTCAGTTATGTCATTTGATGATAATCTTAAATTAAAAGATATCAACCTTACCATCCAATTGATACAATTTTCTACAAGATTTTGTCTCATAGTAAATAGCTGTAACTCTTTTGGGGAAAATTGCAAATTCATACTTATTAGAAAAAACGAAAAACTGAAGTTTGGGAGCTTGAATTCAATATAAAAGTCAGTTCTGCAGAATGCAACAACACATATGAAACATACATTATTGTATCGACATAAGCTTTGTGTTTAACTGCAAAACATGTTTTGAATTATTTAATTTCATACATTCAGATTACTGTACGGTTAAATTGCTAGGCAGTTTTAACTTATAACTTCACAAAGTGTGGAGTGTGGGCCCTGCATCCTGTTTTAGGGCCCGAGAGTGTTGTGGTACTCGACACTTCTGTTGTGGTTTTAAGGCTTCCACCTTTAGCTGTAATGTCTCCATAACATCCAGATGTTTCGTTAAGAATAGGAAAAGAAAGAAGGACCCAGGATGAGCTTTTTGTGATGTTACTGAAGGAAAATGTTAGAAACAAATTGTTTATTTCATAGTGGGATTATAATCACAAAAGGCAGTCATAATTATAAACAATTTATAATTGTAACTTGTTTAATCTTCTACAGTTTTTTATGATGCACAAACCAAATATCTATTGTTCAAATAATTTGGATGATATTAAAAGAAATAGGACTTATTATTGTCTTTTGTCTTGAACCACTTTAAAAACAAAATGTGAAAACATTTTTGAAACATTTGAAAAAACACTTGAAAAAAACAAACATAGTACTTACTCCTTTACTAAAATAAATGTTTAAATACATTGCAAAATATTTTCCGTTTAATTTGTATTCTTCATACCTTTTCTCCAATTATTATTTCAGTTTCAAATGTTGCTTTAAATTATTTGCTTGATTCATTAAAACTTTATCAACATATTTTGGGGTTTTCTGTTGAAAATAAATAAAGCAATATGAACCTGGCCCCAACACAGATTACTACCATCTTCATTGTTTTCTCAACCAATATGATTTTTAAAATTAAAATAAGAACAACTTCCAAAAGAGAAGCAACTGTACTCTGACATCACTGTCAGCCCTTTTCTATTGAAATAACTGATTTATATTCCTTTGAACATTTAGGTAAGACTAACGAAAACAACATGACAATGATCCCTGTTTTTCTGTTTTAAACACTTATGGGTGCTTAATGTTTTTTTTAAAGATTTGTTTTATTATGGAAATGTTTAGTAATACTTAAAGTGTTATAAAGCAAACAAAAACTGTATAACTGACCAATTGTTGTGTAATAGTGTCCTTAGATTAAGTTTGGGCAACAGTTTTTCGAAAACAAGTGTAACATTTAGAATTTTAGAATTAAAATAAAAAGGAAACATTACTTTTATTTTTCGCTCTTTAAAAAAAATAATGCAAATCATGTTTATATGATGAGCTCCGGGTCAACACATATGAGTACTGTAGGCTACATGTAACGCGTTGAGCACAGCAACAGGTTAATTAGTCATTTTATTTTTAAAACAATTAAACAAAGAGGCAATGAACCTTAAGAATAACATCATATAAATACATTAAGTTCACAACTCAGCACTTTTTATCGATACATTTTTTTTTATGATACATTTGTAATATAATGAACAACTTTAATGGACATTAAAATGTATGATTAAGCAGTCTGTGTGCCGTTATGACGAATTCATATATGTATATATCATTTTATATAAGAGTACGTTGGAAACCCTCAGTGATTGCTGACTGTTTCCCTCTCCTTCCTCAGGAGAGGTGGAGATCTGTGTCGGAAGTACCGTAGTTTATGTATGCTAATGTGTAGAGTTGGGGGTTGTAGCTAGATATTTACGTTCAGAGGGAGCCGCCCTTCATTCACCCACATGGTTACCAACTGGTCGCCTTCGCGCCACTTTCCTATCCCCGCAATCATTTTTAACCAGCCTTACTGGGCTACAAATTGACTCCCGATCGGCTCGGATTTCTCTTTATGTTCCGTTGTTGTTCGCCGGTAGAAAACTTTCCGGAACAGTTTCGTATTTATTCCTCTCTTTTGTCGGTAAGAGACTACACGGCAGCCCAAGCAAGTGAGCGAAGATGGTGGATTTCGGCTGGTGAGTGTCTGCCGAGCGCATGTTTATCAGGCAAGGAAGTCGGGTTTGGGGTTGTTTATTATCTCTGTTTTGCTGCACGAAACCTCTAAACGATGTGTTTTATGCCTGTTTTAATGTGTCTTAATATCGTACTACTGGAGGGGAAATGCAAACATTAAATCCTAAATGATATGCTGGCGATGAAAACAGTGTAACGTGAGGCGCATGGCAGCCCCCTCTGCTCCACCATTGAGGGAATGAGGGAGATTTGAAAAGCTGTCCAGAGCCTTTCTCCTTAGCAACTAGTTGAGAATAATACGACATTCTCGTAACAACACCCGAGTTTGTGTAAACATGCGTGTCCAATATTAGTAAGGAAAGTTTGTAAATGTGGATAATTTGTTGCTCAGTCTCGAATGCAGTGGTGTGTGAGTTAAAGTGCCCCCCAGAACAAAGCAGCAGCACATGGGGCAGTGATAGGCCGCGCGTTTTAGCTTAGCTACCTTAGCCTAGCTGCAGACACTCAACACAGTTGTGTTGTTGGGTAAACACATACATAACAGTATAAAGGGTTGGGATCACATTTAGATAAAGATAGGAGCAGATAAATACAGCCAATCCACCGGGGCAGGTGGTGTATGTTCAGACGTGTGCTCGTTTGTTGTTGGCTAGCGGCTAATCAGTATAATCAAACTATTTAATTGTATTAGCTTGCGAAACAACTGCAACAGACCCACCGAGTTTACTGTTAACACACTAAACTGCTCATGTGCCACATCAAAGTTGTAGTTATTGCAGCTGTAGCAACGTTAACACGGTTTTCCATGTTTTCACCAGGCTAATTCGTTAGCTCCCAGCAGCTAAGCTACCTGCCCGACCACGGCTGCTGTTTGCTGCGGACATTAGCTGTGTTTTTCTCGGGGATCCGACACAGCAGGCCCCGGTGTTTGCGCCAAATAAACAACACGCAACTACACATTTTTAAGTCAATACAGCGTTAGCGCGATTTGTCGTAACTCATTTATGCTAAGGTTGGCGCACTTGGAGGCGCCATGTTAAAGGCGGTGGGGGAGGGGTGATCAACAGTCTCCCTGCGCATGCGCCTCAGTGTCGCAGGGAACGCGGGCCGCAGGCTGTGCAGCTCATTCATGTTTTCTGTGACCTCGTGCTGCTGCGATAAATCACAACATCTCCTATCACAACAACTAATTCGTGTAATCCTCGACTAATCAGGAATAGTGATGCACTTTATTGATGGAGACGATTTGAATACCACGTTTTTTTGGGGTGGATTTAATGAAAGAAATGGGTTACATGTGCGCACACATCAACCTAAGGATGTAACTTGTTGCAATTCCCAAAAAGTCGAATTGTTCTCTAAGGTGTATTTTTTTCTCTTTCCCCCCCCCCCCCTTCCAGATCCACCATGATATCCTGAGGCCAACCCGAATTCCAACCTGGACCAGTGTGACAGTCTTTCCCATGTTGCTGTAATCAGTCTGTGTATTGTCAAAGTGCTTACAGTGCAGGTAGTTCTATGTCATACCTACTGCAATGGAGGCACTTACAGCAATACCCTGACACTGATGTGCAGAGCCCTTTGATGTTATGTGTCATGTGAAGTACTGTCTTTGTGCTAAGGTGCATCTAGTGCAGATAGTGAAATAGACTAGCACCTACTGCCCTAAGTGCTCCTTCTGGCATAAGGGGCTGTGATATGCGCCACCAGACCCTTTTTTTTCAATTTCCAATTGGGCTTTAATATCTTGCAGTTCTCTGCTAGTTTTGCATAGTTGCACTACAAGAATAGATGAGTTGTGCAAATCTATGCAAAACTGATGGTGGCCTGCTTGCTCTCCACCTGTTTAGATTTTTGGTTTTGGGGGTGTCACATCAAACACAATTGGTTTGAATAATACAAATGTAGTGCTGATATCAAATAAAAAAACACGTATTTTCCAGTTTGTGAAGTTACTGAGTTTCAGCAGTGCTAAAGTGCTTATAGTGCAGGTAGTGTCTTTCTCCTATCTACTGCAATGTAAGCACTTAAAGTACTTCTAACTAACTGCATCTTTCTGAACCTCGGATGTCTATGGTCATGGGTGATCTGTTAATCATCACTTGGTCAGTTTTGCTGGTTTGCATCCAGCTTTTTCTGATGTTCGCTGTGCAAATCCATGCAAAACTGACTAGGTTGATGAACTGTTCTGCTAAGTGGTATTGCTCTTAAACATAGATCTTATTTCCTCGTGGTGGGTATATGGTGTCTAAAATACTTGGAGATGTCCCTTCCTGTGCAGGTGGGGATTTGTAGCAATGCTGAGTACCTGGAGGTATTGCACTTGTCCCGGCCTGTATAGGAACGAGGAGATGGAGCTGACCTGGATCCTGACCTCAGTATACTAGAAAAATGAATGCACTCAACTTTATGACTGCTTATTATGTATGCAATGCATGTGATAGTTGATGGGGATATGTTTTTTTTAAAAATTGGTTAATTGTAATGTCATTTGAAATTTATATTAAATTGTTTACACTTTTCTTTTTCTTGAATGCTTTATTATGCAAATCTCACAATGAGTTAAAGGAATTTAACACTGTTTAGTCATTTGGTAAATTGAAATGCACCTCAATTGAATTTGTATAGGATTATTTGGAAGCTTTTTTTAATGGTTATATCGTGCCGCCTTTATTAGACACTTGAAGCAAGACAATACAAAAAGTAACATTATTTATTTTAGATTAATAAACTAATTCTATGGCCAGTAACTTTTGATTCTCTTTACACTTTCTTTAACTGATGGGCATCCACTAATATTCTAATAAATGTAATTTTTTGACCACCATATCGGATTACATCTAGCACATCACCCATTGTGTTAACAGCTTTAAAAAAATTGAGGTGCAGTATTCAATGCACACAAGACAGACATTTAAGAGCACAGCCCTGAATAACAGCAGTTTATTACAGGAGGCCACAGTGAAGGGCAGTAATGGCTAAACTGATGGGGTCTTATTGTAGTAGTTGCCCATTCATTTTGAATATGAAAGCTGAATATTACCTCTAGTTTTTTTCAGTTTGCAAATCACAATCAAGCCCACATGAGTTCAAGGCTAACTGAAAACATGGAAAATAACTTTACAATTTAATTTTTAATTACTGAGAAGAAAGGCAAAACTCAATCTTTAATTTGAATTCAAATCTAAATGTCAAACTAAGATGTTAATGACAATAAGCAAACGTTAGTCAAATAAGAAATTGAGAACTATTGAAAATTACGAGTAGGCCCCTACAGTGTAATTACATTTACTTGAATTTGGGATTAAGGGCAAAACATAGGCATACCCATAGTTTATGAATCAATCCATGATTTAAGAAAACCCTTAACAGTCACGCCTCATCAATACAAACTGTTCTGTAAAGAGACCTTTGCTTCATATCCACCTAATCTCTGCACCCTTCAGCGTTGATATTGTTTAATTGTCATAATTAAATCAGGTCTTAACTCAAAGGGGGCGGACACTAGATGGCGCTGTCCGTTCGCCGGCAGCTGCTCACCGGCCACGGGGTGCAGGTAACGCTGCGGTACCGCCTTCGCTCCGGGTCCAGCTAACTTGGACAACATGCCGCTGTGTAACAGACTCCTCACACCGCTGCAACTTTCACTCCGTCAGCCTGCACTGAAATGATGATCCGCAGCGTTTCCTCCACACAAACGCCACATGGTCGACGACGCTGAGTCCTGAAACCTGAGATGTGGACGGGACTCACCTGAGCTGCCCGAAGGTTCAGAAGAAACCTTAACTTCCAAACAAGCGTCTTTTTGTGGCGTATAACCCTGGATTTGGTTAAAATGGGTGTGCTGCTGTGGACGAACTGCGTTTTCTTGCTGGCGTGTGGCTCTGGATTAGGGTTTGGCAGCCCCAACAGATGCGATGAAGTGCGGAAAGTTTTCCAACTCAAACAAATTGGACCAAATCAATTATTGCCTTTGAGCCCCAGACCAGGTATGTTTGAGATACACATGAGAAGCTAACCTATGCTATCATATAATTGATGTCACATTTCTTTCGATAATTTAATCATTAACATCTATTTAGCAACGAAAGCATCATCAAGCTAAACCCTGAATGAAAGAAATATGCCAGAGAGAAGTCATTCAACACTACATTACCTTCCTGTTGAGGTCACTAACTGCACTGTGGATTTTTAACCTGTCATTTTCTGGCTATTGAAGTACTCTTTGTAGTTACAAAATGCGCCTTTTTAAACATATTTAGAGGCGTGTGTGCAGTCATGATAATAACATAGACAGAATCTGGAGAGCGCTAAACTGTTTAAAGTTTTAAACCTTTGTGTGATGGGACGTTTACATCGAGAAATATGGAGGAAATGCCGTGTAACGCAATTATGTTTATTTTGGATATAATGTTTGGACCCATAACTTAAATTTGTTTCCAGGAGTGTTTCAGTTTAATACATGTTGAAATATTTCAATAGGGTTGCATGGGCTAGAGAGATAGGTTTGGAGATTATAATTTGCTTGTGTTTGCGCAACAAAACAACCTTTAAAATGTGGTTGTCTTGGCTGTTTTATATGTGCTAACGTTTTTCGAAGGAATCTAGAAGTTTAAACTCCTGAGATGATGTGTTGTTTTTTGACGGCTGTCAGCAGATAAGTGGCTTGCAGGGATAAACAGGAATTATTTAGTCTAAAGTTAGGTAAACAAGGCCTCATTTAACTTTCTGAACACCACCCATAATGCAATTTCATATTATACTTCTGCACATCAATTAGGTGGGATGATGGGTGCAGATATTTCAAGTGGGCTGTCATTGACCAAACGGCTTGCTGCTGCTTTCTCTTGGAAAAATAAATCTTAACAGTGTTGATAGCATCCTGCCACAAACTGCTCCCTACAAACTTCACTTTCCTCTGCTGCTGTGTGGAAACTGATTACATTGGCAGAAAACCCTCAAATACTTCCTAAACCTCTAACTAACCCTTATAATGCCATCACCACTCCTGCCCTTTAAGTGAGCCTGTGTGAATCTGAATCTCAGTGCTACTTCTCAACTGAAAAGTACTTTCTCAGATATGAATGATGTGTGCAGTGGGTGCCTCCTGTAGAGGCGATGATAAGCTCCTGATTCAGTAACGTTATAACAACACTTGCTACTGTTAATATCTGTGGTGCTGCTGACCCTTCTTGCAACCTTGCACATTTCCTCTTAAACTGAATGCATCTTGACATTAGAGATGTGTAAATGGTTTCCTTGATGGATTCATATTAATGTATGGAAACACATCAGAGAGTGTAATGGGCAATAGCATAATAAATCCTGTATATCGTATAATTTATCTATTCTTTAGGGTTGGCTTGTGATACATTGCCAGAAATTCCAGGAGATTGAGAGCGAGCTGTTTCTATGTTTTCGAATAAGACGTGCCAAACAGCCTTCAGTTTGGGTCAGAATATGGCAAGCCATAAGTCTTTCCCCTCAGCCAACTAAAGCTGCTTTCTGTGAAAATAGTTCTGGGAAGCATTTAGGTGAAAAAAAAAAAAAAAAAACCAAGACCTGGGGCTCTTTCAAGTTGTCTTATCTGGGAGAGTTTAAATTCCTCCACGTGTGCCATCGCCTGCCCTGCACCCTCCTCACTCTTCTTCAACTGATAGCGTCTCTGGCAACAGCTCTGCACTCTCTGCACACTCTGCCTAGGCTTTTGCACAGTTTTGGGACTCTTTTAAGATGTTTTGACTGTCCCCTATGAAGGATTGCTTATTTGTTCATAGCTTAGCTTATCACTGCCACAAACTGGTGAGCCGATAACTTTTTGACTCTCATCTCTGCTCAGGTTCTTTGTGTTTTGGTTTTCTGCTCCAGTAAAGCATTTGTTGTACTCCTATAATGGTGGAATAATGATTTTGAATGACCAGAATCAACTGCAGCTTTTCAAACAGACATGATTAGGTCCATAATATTATATTTCTTTAGAATATCCCATACTATTTATTTACCTTGTATTTTTCGACTTGTGTGTATCTCTCTATATAAACATGGATTGTCAATACATTTAACCTCGATGACCCCTTGACTTTTATTTTCCCATAATTGGTTGACCCCTCTGTTTCTGAGTGAAATATTTCCATTTGACAGATTCTCATGAGTGCTGCTAAAGAAAGTTGCTTGTCACTTTGGACGGTTGCCAATTTATCATACAGGTATTAAAAAATATTTTTAGACACACACACACCTATTCATACTTGCCTTTTGACAGTTTAAAGTGTCAAATCTACCTGACTTGCATGTCTGTGGAATGGAAAGTAAGTGGAGCACCCTAAGGAGAGCCTCTAGATCCCCAGCCACAACTTCATGCCTCTCACATATTTGTTTTACATTCATGTAACATATGTAAGCAATTTGTTACTAAATAAATACAAGGTGAAAACCCACAAGGTTGGGGAACATGGTGTACCTATTCATAAGTGTCACACTCCCAGGTTTATGTCACGGTTTTAGTGTTGTCTGTCTGGTTGTGGGTTTTGTAAGTCTGTTCATTCGGTGTTTCGTCTTCCTCCTTGTGTTTTGTCTGGTCCTCCTCCCTGTCGTTGGTTTCCCTGGTGTGTCTGATTGTCTCGTTGTGTTCACCTGTTGCCCTTGTGTTTCTCCCTCCCCTGCCCGGCTGTGTCTTGTCCTGTGATTACCGTTCTGTGTATTTGGTCTAGTCTTCCCCTGTGTTCCATGTCGGTTCATTGTTTCCCCTTCATGTTATTCCACGGTCTGTGTTCCTTGTGCTGCTCGTTTGTTTTGGATATTTTGGATACTGCCTTTTTTGCCACAGCTTTTATTATTTAATAAAGCTCGCTTTTCGTTAAATTCTGCATTTGAGTCCTACCTGCTTCACCCAAGCGTAACAGAATGAACCGACCAAATTTGGACTCAGCAGATTTGAATGTTTTGGCCCCACAGGCGGAATGTCTTGGGTACTCTCTGGAGTACATTTATTACACCTGGAAGAACGCCTCATCTAGACGAGGTAAAGAGGCTGCTTTGAAGGAGGCACGCTGGGAGGTTGCTCGCAAGCCCTGGCTCAGGAGCTTGTTGCCTGAGTGGCTACAAACTTTTACAAGTAGCCCTGAAGACTTGTCACAAGCTTCTAACCCTTTCCTGGGATCCGACTACTGTCCTGTTGGAGGTCCACGGAGTCTCCAAAAAGCCTCTAGGAGACGCAGGGCCAGGATTCCAGCCCGTGCTTCAACAGCCATGATCCCGGCTTCAGTTCCGGTTTCCACAGCCATGGATCCATGCACCAGTACCGGCCCGAAGAGCTATGTTTCCTTGCTCGATTACCTGGCCCACACAGCCATGGTCCAGGTCTCTGTTCCGGTTCCAGCGGCTCCAGTTCCAGCCTCAGACCTTTTCTCAGGAACCCGTCGGGCGTTTGGAGGTCCACGGAGCCTCCAAAAGGTCTCTGGAAGATGCAAGGCCAGGATTCCAGCCCGTAGTCCAGCGGCTCCGGCTCCAGTGCCGGTCCCAGCAGCCATGTTTCCGGCCCCAGTTCTGGCCCCAGCGGCCATGGTTCCGGCCCTGGTTCCGGCCCCAGCAGCCATGGTTCCATGCTCCAGTGCCGGCCCACACAGCCATGGTTCCGTGCTCCAGTACCATCCCACACAGCCATGGTTCCGTGTTCTGGTTCCGTGCCCAGCAGCCATGGTTCCGGCTTCATTACCGGCCCCAGTAGCCATGGTCCCGACTCCAGTTTCGGCTTACCGACGCCAGCTCCCAGAGTCCTGTCGGCGTACCGGCCGACTCCAGCACCTCGTCTCCTGTTGGCTCTCCAGCCAACACCAGCTCCCCGAGTCCTGTCGGTGTACCGGCCGACTCCAGCACCTCGTCTCCTGTTGGCTCTCCAGCCGACGCCAGCTCCCCGAGTCCTGTCGGCGTACCGGCCGACTCCAGCACCTCGTCTCCTGTCGGCGTACCGGCCAACGCCAGCTCCCCGAGTCCTGTCGGCGTACCGGCCAACGCCAGCTCCCCGAGTCCTGTCGGTGTACTGGCCGACTCCAGCACCTCGTCACTTGTTGGCTCTCCAGCCGACGCCAGCTCCCTGTGTCCTGTCGTCGTACTGACCGACACAAGTTCCCTCTCAAGTCCCCTCTCAAGTTTCCTCTCAAGCCCTCTCTCGAGTTCCCTCTCAAGTTCCTACCCGAGTCCCCTTTCAAGTTTCCTCTCTAGTCTCCCCTCGAGTTCCCTCTCGAGTCCCCTCTCAAGTTGCTTCTCAGGTCCCCTTTCGAGTCTCTTCTCAAGTCTCCTCTCGAGTCTCTTCTTGAGTCCTCTCTCAAGTCTCCTCTCGAGTTCCCTCTCGAGTTCCCTCTCAAGTCTCCTCTCGAGTTCTCTCTCAGGTCCCCTCTCAAGTCCCCTCTCAAGTCTCCTCTCAAGTTCCTTCTCGAGTCCCCTCTCAAGTCTCCTCTCAAGTTCCCTCTCGAGTCCCCTCTCGAGTTACCTCTCGAGTCTCCTCTCCAGTCACCTCTCGAGTTCTCTCTCAGGTCCCCTCTCAAGTCCCCTCTCAAGTCTCCTCTCAAGTTCCTTCTCGAGTCCCCTCTCGAGTCTCCTCTCCAGTCACCTCTCGAGTTCTCTCTCAAGTCACCTCTCGAGTTCCCTCTCAAGCCCTCTCTCGAGTCTCCTCTCGAGTTCCCTATCGAGTCCCCTCTCAAGTCAACTCTCGAGTTCTCTCTCTCTCTCTCTCTCTCTCTCTCTCTCTCTCTCTCAAGTCCCTCAAACCCTAACCCTGCTCTCCTGCCGGGGGTTCTGCCAACTCCATGTCCTGTCCCGTTGGGGGTCCCGCCGACTACTCTTCTGCCGGGGGTCCTGCCAACCCTGTGTCCTGTGCCGTTGGAGGCCCCGCCGACTACTCTTCTAGGGGGGTCCTGCCAACCCTATGTCCTGTGCCGTTGGAGGTCACGCAGACTACTCTTCTGCCGGGGGTCCTGCCAACCCTATGTCCTGTCCCGTTGGAGGGCCCGCCGACTACTCTTCTGCCGGTGGTCCTGCCAACCCTATGTCCTGTGCCGTTGGAGGTACCGCCGACTACTCTCCTGCCGGGGGTCCTGCCAACCCTATGTCCTGTCCCGTTGGCGGGCCCGCCGACTACTCTTCTGCCGGGGGTCCTGCCAACCCTATGTCCTGTCCCGTTGGGGGTCCCGCCGACTACTCTTCTGCCGGGGGTCCTGCCAACCCTATGTCCTGTGCTGTTGGAGGTTCCACTGGGGGTCCTGCTAGCTCCATGTCCAGTCCTGTTGGAGGTCCCGCCAACTACTCTCCTGCCAGGGGTCCTGCCAATCCTATGTCCTGTTCCTCTGGGGGTCCCGCCGACAACTCTTCTGCCGGGGGTCCTGCCAACCCCTTGTCCTGTTCCGTTGGAGGCCCCACCATCACCTGTCTCACCGGGGGTCCTGCCAACTCCTGGTCCTCTTCCGTTGGGGATCCTGCCGAAGCCTGTCCCACTGGCTCTGGTTCCTGTTCGGCCGACACCGGGTCCTGCCCGGCCCCCCGTAGCTGTCTGGTCTTCGCCCTCGAGCCTGGCCCACTGAGAGCCGCGGTCTTCGCCCTCGAGCCCGGCCCCCCTCGAGCCGCAGTCTTCGCCCTCGAGCCCGGCCCCCTGAGAACCGCGGTCTTCGCCCTCATGCTCGGCCCCCTGAGTTCGCCCGCTGTGGCGTTCGCCCCTTTTTGAACTCTTCCTTGCCCCCGGGCCGTCCGCCCGAGAACCCCTCCTTGGTCTCTGCCTTGCCCCCGGGCCGTCCGCCCGAGACCCCCTCCTTGGTCTCTGCCTTGCCCCCGGGCCGTCCGCCCGAGACCCCCTCCTTGGTCTCTGCCTTGCCCCCGGGCCGTCCGCCCGAGACCCGTCCTCCAGACCCCCTCCACACACCCTTTCTTGGCCCTAGTTATGTGTCCCTCCTCCGGTCCCCCTCCACCCAACCTGCTGGACTTTTTTTTTTGGGACGTCTGGGATCCGTCCCTTGAGGTGGGGTTCTGTCACACTCCCAGGTTTATGTCACGGTTTTAGTGTTGTCTGTCTGGTTGTGGGCTTTGTAAATCTGTTCATTCGGTGTTTTGTCTGGTCCTCCTCCCTGTCGTTGGTTTCCCTGGTGTGTCTGATTGTCTCGTTGTGTTCACCTGTTGCCCTTGGTGTTACGGTATGGAGGTAAAGAAGTGTACTGTTATGGACGTGGGCAGCCAGCAGCAAAACCAATTTGAATCTTATATTTTGAAACTCCTCCGCAATCAGGTTTTGACATGTAACTAAAGCTGTTATCTATGTTCTCTTTAGAGCCACCAGACTCCATAGGGGGGAAAAAATAAAACTGAAAATGTATACAACATTACACGGAGGTTGCTCTAACGCTGCATCAATATGTTTGTGTTGTTTGACATCTGAGCTAACCATTTAAAACATCAAAAGAGAATAGTAATGGATGCCAGCTTAAGCTTACATTGATATTGATTTTCTTTTAGCCAAGCCTCTTTTTAGGTGGTTGATGATGTTTTTGCTGTTGCCCCCTTGGGTGTCAAATACACTGACTTTGACTAATTACAGGTCTGACCAGGGCCTGTAAATGAACCCAATTCCAAAAGTTTGAACTATCTCTTTGACATTTCTCTTTTGTTGAACAAAATAACAAAGACAAATGTAATTTCTGGCTAAGTGAATTTCGAAATACAGTGGCACCATGAGAAATGAGTTATTCCTTCCCATTTTTATTTTAAGATCCTAACATTCAATCTTAACTACTCTTAGGTTCAGACCTTCAGGTGTGCATGTCCAAGAACCTGACCTGCTGCACCAAAAAGATGGAGGAGAAGTACCAGGTGGCGGCCCGGAGAGACATCCAAAACCTCCTGCAGACGTCCAGCTCCAGCCTCAAGTTCCTCATATCGCGCAATGTGGCAGCTTTTCAAGGTAAGAGTTAACTGGTGTGCTGCGTGTGTGTGTGTGTTTATTCATCACTGTAACAAATGTTAAACTTCATAAACGCGTGCTGAGATGAGAGAGCAAATGTTTACGTGGATAATTGTATGTGTGTAGTTGTTTGTGTGTGTTTCCGAGTTGCAGTACACATAGGAGTTGGGGTTTGTGTGGGTGTTGTGAAAACAGTGGATGAGTCAGTGTGCGTGCAGCTAGGCTCCACTTCAGAGCAAACAGAGAGGGTCTGTCCTCCTTCCAGATCTACCACTACACTATGATCCTGAGATAAGATGGACTCAGGATGCCGTCTCTAAGGGTGAAAGTCTGTCAGGGATATGCACTGGGGCTTTTACTAATAGCTGCTTTTCCTGTGCAAGGTGTCCTCTTATACTGATACCTCCATAAAAGCAACATATTTAGGGCAGAGGAACACAGTTAGCTCAGCATAGAAACACCATAAACTGGCTGCAACCCATCCCCACATCGGTTTTCAACCTCTTTCTCTTATTGTTTTGCATTCCTCTCCATCCTTTTCATTCAGCAATGATTGACAGTTAGCGTACAAGCAACAACTTGCCTCTGTCTCTCTCCTGCCCAGCGTGGGATGTTTCTCCCACTCTAGTTAATGGCTGTCATATGATGGCTGAAATGAGTGGGCAACAAATGCAGAGCTTACGACTTGAGTGTACAGTCTCAGACATATCATTAAGCCAATTCTCTTTAACGATGTCTCTCAGTTTAAAGACGTGCTGTTATCCTCCTCCTAAACTCAAATGGTTTATGGGAGAGTCCCGGCATGATCACAGTGTTTTAGTTGAGGTTGGAAGGGGCAATGCCCTGTTTGTGTTGTCAGATGTTTGATGTCTCTACTGGGGCTCTGAAGGTGAATTAAAATACCCTGCGTTTATGATGGTTTTCATAAGGCATTGGCAGATTTTTTAAATACTGTTAACTTATTACAAAATGGCAAACAGTCTTATTTAGGTGAAAGGTTTAAAAAAAACAACCTCTAAAAAGAAAAGTTCAAATCCAATGAAAAAACTAAAGACTTCACTTCCTTTGGCACTTCCCCCTCAACTGAATACATCTTCAAAACGGTCGCTAACATATAGAAATGTCCCAACATTTGGTTTTTAGGAGAACCTTTGAACTTCAGATGAATACATGTTTGGTATAGTATTACAGGTATGTGTATTTGGGACTTGCTCCAAATAATTGACATGTTGTTCAGTACAACAATGTTGACTATTCTGATTGTTTTTTAAAATGATTGTTGGACAATATTGGGGGACCAAAGCAGATAAGAGTAAGCTTAATCAGGGCTACACAAACAATACATGTTTAAAGTTAAAGTTCTTGTTACTTAAAGCCAGTCCAAGAACTGGCAGCTTTGTGAGTGCAGGGCAAGTCAAAAAAGACTACAGGAGCTGGTAGCTGTTTGAAATACTCCTAAAATGAGCAGCACTCACATGGTTTCATCTGAGGAATGGCAGGCAGTGTGCTCTCTTGCCAAAGCAAACAGAGTTCCCTGTCAACAGCGGCTCTCATCACCAGTCAACAAACAGTGGCGGCTGCTTCCAACATCCAGGCTGCGTAACACAAGTGGCAACAGACGCTCAGCAATTTAGGTTTCATATTGGATCACAGGCAACGGCAGTGTAACTACCCTGACATTTATTAAGTCGTTATGTTGTGTTCCCAAGTTGTTATTCTGATTTATTTAAAATAAGTTGTGGGTTCTAAGTCATTTGTGACTGATTATTTTCTTGATATATATATTTATATTCTTTTTTTAAATTTACATTTTTTTAAATTTTTTAGTTCGCATGTTCAGATTGTTTGTATAGTCCGACCTGCAGTCCAGCCCCCATAGATAATACCAAATGTTGGCTTGTAATTGACTTGTTGTTTAAAAAAGTTTGTTGATTGACTGATTGATTCGACTTTTAAAATACTCCCTGTGAAATTTCTTCACGTTTGCTTTTGAATTCTCATCTAAACACCTTGCTTTTACTTTCTTCACGACCTTTGCAAAGCTATATGTATGTGTCCAGAGGCATATTGTTCTTGATTTTCCGTCCCTCTCATTATCGTGAACCCCCGATTTCTGGAGGAACAAACTTCCACTTCGACTCAGAAGAACTGATTGGAATTTGTGGTTCAAAGTCATTGTGACCTCACAAAGTTACTTAGCTTTTGGCCATAACAATAAATAATATATTTAATCATGTTAAACATTTTAAATCCTGCAATGTTTGCATTTATGATTGCTTGCCAGCAATCTTTCCCTATTGCTGGAATTTTTACTTTGTTTGTTGTCATGTTACTACCACCAACTTTAGATAAGGGAAAACGTGTGTCCAAAAATATCTTCTGGATCACATATAAACCACATATATATATATATTTCATAAGCTAAATCAAGTTGCGCATGAAAGAAATGTAAACCACAAATGTAACTCTTCCTCTCTGCCGGTTCAATATTGTTTGTCTTGCTATTGAAGTAAATCTATGCTGATAGAAGCTGATGATTGTTAAAATGTTGCTGCTGTTTTTTTGACTCGCAGTCTATAATATCTTAGCACGCACACACTCACACACTCACGTACGCACACAGAGCCACCCACGTGGCATTGTTCTATTTGGTTGTGAAGGTTTTAAGGGTCTTTGTCACATGGAGAAAACTCTCTGTGGCACCATATGTATGGGAAGCACGGAGGGAAAGAAATGTCTGGCAGGTTGTTAGATCTTAACAGAGTGGGGGAAAAAAAACCAGCTTTGCTGTTCATGTGCAGACATAAAAGAAACACAAGTCAAGCATTTAATCCTTCTTTCCTATCCAGGGAGTGTTCAATGATGCTGAATTAATGATGCTGAATTAATATGACTGAATTGTTTGTTATTCATCTTGTGTGACTGTTAGTTTTGTTCTGGGTGTTTTCAGATTATAATGGAGGTGGAAACAAGCCAACAACTTTACGGATGGTTTTTAAATTGAAATAAGATGTTATGTTGACTGCCCTCAGCATTATTACTGCTTCACCGTAGACACTTTTGTTGAGTACTGGAAGAAATACTTCTCTCTAGGAGGTAGGAGAAAAACAAGTCCCTTAGTTTTAGCTTCCAAATGATTGGCAGCCTGCGCTGTAATTTGAGAGACAACGGAGAACAAGCAGAGTGTATAATGCATTACAACCACAGACAGGAAGAAGGGCGAGTTAAAGGGGTGCAGACTAATGTGGTCATTTGTTATGTGCAAAGCCTTCAATTAGGCATTTTTTATATATATGCAGCTAAAAGGAGAGGGGGCAAGACACACTTAGAGGAATGTAGATGAATAACAGTCTGAAAGACTTAGGAGACAGGGAAAATAGCTCTAACCAATAAAATGCTATTTAAAATGTTTTTCTTCCTCTGGGACTTTTTTTTGCCCTTTAATGGGCTGCAGTAATAACACGTCTTCAAGAGCATATGTAGAAAAAGTGCTTAATACTTACACATAATGAGAGATGTTGATTATGAGAGCTTCAAAGCACAGCTCATCCTACATTAATGGCTGAATACGTGTTTCCATTTCCTTTATGTGCCTCAAGATTAGAATATCTCGTCCTTAAATGAACTTGACTGCTGCCTCTCAAATCTCTTCACAACGAAAAGATAGCTTGGCAACTGGGCTGGTTAAAACTAGAAAGAATAAAGATAAAGTTGATTGCATACTTTTCAGCAGAAGTCCTTTGAGCCTCCCAGCACATCACTTTTTTTCTCCTCTCTTTCTGCTGGTCTGTCAGTAAGCCTCTTAGGACTGCATGTTTTCTTTCACCGGTTGTGGGTTTCCTGCATGTTGTCCACACAATGCACAAATATGCAGCCTGCTCAGAGGGGCTTCAGAGGAGATCTTTTTTGCCCTGTGCAGGTTTGTCTTACATCCATGGCAACCAACCTGTGCAATCCTAGCTTCCCGCGGGGCGGCAGCCGATACAACTCAGAAACAGAGCATATTATGAATCGGCTGTTAAGATGCCTGAGAGACTGTCTGAGGAGGGGCACTTAAATCTTAGCAGAATGTCGGATACCACCAGATCAAAGGAATACCCTCCTTTGGGAAGAGCTTTGAGGAAATATTAAAGCAACATATTGCCTTCAAAAGTGAAGAATCCAGGGATATTTACAGAGGCTGGAACTGTTGGCTTGTAACAAATTAAAGGAATAGTTTGTTATTTTGAGAATGGGATTTTCCACTTAATTGCAGAGATTTGAATAAGAAAAGCAAAACTACTCCCATAGCTACCCGTTAGCCGTTACATACAAAGGTACAACCAGCATAGAGTTAGCTTTGCTTAGCATAAAGGCTAAAGGGAAAATCAACTATCCTGGCTCTGTCCAAAGGTTAAGATATACACCTACCAACACCTGTTAAGCTCAATCAAATAATTACCCAATGTTGGGGAATGAGATAATGGGACGAACAATACCACACTAATATTGGTTTAAAGCTCTGCTGTTGATTAGCCTAGCTTAGCATAACACATTTAAAGGCAGCATGCCGGGCTCAAATCCTCCTATGAAAGCATCCTGAGCTCAATATTTAACCTGCTATTTCTACATTCCTTTATTTCATACACATAATAAAAGCATCAGTTGAGTGGGTTTTCAGGAAGTTACATTCTGTCATGCTAATTAATTTCATTATACAAGACACAAAAGCGATGCTGACAAAAGTTGTGGCCTGCTAGACTTTGATTAGTAGGGTGATTAGCACCCGTCACAAAGCAGCTAAGTCTGGTGTCAGGTTGTAGCTTCATTTAATCGCCTCCATTTATAATCACTTGTAGCCTGTTCATTTGTTGCTCATAGTGTGCTCGATGACTCCCTGGTGTCTTTCCGACAGGAAACCAGCAGAAACACCAGCCCCGATGCTGTCATTGTGGTTTTTCTACAGATTAAACACAATGAGACACAGTGGGTTGAATAAATAGATTTAAAAGTGTTTGTTG